ATGCAACAATTAGTCATTTTCTCACCCAATTGAGGCTCACAGCTAAGCAAGCTAGATGGTAAGAATTTTTAGTCGAATTTGAATTTTGTTTTAAGCACACAACTAAAAGAACCAATCAAGTGGCAGATGCATTGAGTACACGAGTAAAGTTGGTTACTCTTAGGAAAATTACCCTAATGGCAACTAGTAAAGTCACAACAGATGTTTGCAAGCTAATTGAAGATAATTTAAGAAAAAACTCACAGGCTAGTACCATCCTGAAGCTAGTAGAAGAAAAAAATCCAAGTACTTTTGGTAAAAAAATGGGGTCTTGTTGACAAAGGGCTCTCAATTGTTTGTGCCAAAAATAGGAGATCTAAAATAGATGCTAATGAGGGAATACCATGACACACCATAGGCGGGGCACCCTGGTTGGCAACGCACTTTGGCCCTACTGAAACAAGGCTATTATTGGCCTCATATGCGACAAAATGTGATGGACTATATGATGACTTGCCTTGTTTGTCAACAAGATAAAGTTGAAAAAAAAAACTGATAAGTATGCTTGAACCACTACCTGTGCCCCCAAGACTTTGGAAAAGTATCTCCTTTGACTTCATATCGGACCTTCCTAAAGTTGGCGATCTTAGGTTTGTTATGGTGGTGATTGATTGTTTTTTGAAGTATGTCACATTCATTCCCACACAAAAGTATTGCACTGCTGAAGATACAACTCGACTAATGTTTAAACATGTAATCAAATATTGGGATCTTCCTCAAAACATTTTCAATGATACGGATCCAAAATTCACTGGGTTATTCTTGAAGGAACTTTTCAATATCTTGGGATCTCAACTCAACATCTCTTCAAGCTATCACCCGCAAATCGATGGTCAAACCAAATGATTCAATGGGTTGTTAGAGGAGTACTTAAGACACTTTGTTCAAGCTAATCAAAAAAATTAGCCTTCATTGTTGGATGTAGCTCAGCTTTGTTTTAATTCCAACAAGTGTTCTTTCACAAATAAGAGTTCATTTGAAATGGTCACTAGATAATTACCAAGACTACCGCATACTTTCTTAGAGTTGTATGGAGGAAAGAATCCGTAAGCCTTCAACCTTAACAAATAATGGAGACAAAATATAGAAATTGCACAAGCATACTTAGAAAAGGCATCGAAGCACATTAAGAAATGGGCAGATAAGGGTCGTAGGGTATAGTAATTCATAGTTGGTGATCTTGTTCTTGTCAGACTAGTGTCTGAACAAACTAGGTTCCTAAGAAAACAAGATCATAAATTGATGCATAAATATAAAGGTTCAGTGAAAATCCTTTCCAAAATGGGGAATGCCTCTCACAAAATTGACCCGCCAAAATGGATGAAAGTGCATCCAGTGTTCCATGTTAGCAACTTAAAGCCTTTCCATGTAGATCCCATAGATGCAAGCCGTGGGGAGTCAACCAGGGTTATCATCAAAATGTCAAGTTGAAGAGATTTTAGCTGACAGGGTATCTAAGATATCTCAAAGAATAGTTCATGAATACTTAGTGAAGTGGATAGGCCTAAAACCAAAAGAAACCAGTTGGGAAAGAGATCATGACCTTTGAGCTTTCAAACGAAAGATCGAAGAATTTCAAGCTAACAAGTTGACGAGGGCATCAATAGGATAGATGGGGAAAGATGTCATGAACCAACGTTGTATAAGGTCATGATCGGGCATAAGTTGTCATGAGCCACCCATGTATAGGTTCATAACCGGATAAAGATGCCAATGGAGAAGGTAGATTTCATGTGCTATGAAAAAGTGTCATCATTTCAAACATTGTAATAGTTTTTAGTAGCATAGTTATAAAATCTTATTTGCTCTTTAAAAGGGGTGAACAGTCGACATATTGTTGTGCTATCTCACTGGTTAAGGTATATGCTAGATCATCCATCTAGGGCTGCCCATCTAGCCCCCACGATGGTGGAAAGACTCGTTGTACTATTATCAATATTAATAAAATGTTTCTTTTTATATGAGAACACCGAGGATCGCCTTAGTGTGCTCCTATTTTACCTCGATATATCATTGTGTATGCTTGAGATTAACTTGTGGCTTGTTAGTTGCCTATTCAGATATTAAAGTATCCTTGGTTAACTTGTGTGGAAACATCTATTCAAGTATCGCACGATTTATTGCTTCATTGAAAAAAAAACTTAGTCCATGACACTTATCCTCTTCATTGTTATCGAGTGTAGAGTATTGCTTGAAAAAAAGAAAAAAGTGAAAAGTAGGGAAAAGGTTTCAGATTATAGAATGGCATCAAAGTTGGAGAACAACATGAACAAGGCTCTAATTTTACATGCCCTGCTTGGACTGCTTGTTGGTGTCATTGCTGGCACATATTTTCAAGGGTTGGAAAATAACGTGGACGAGATTCAGAAGAATCAAAGCTACTGTGGACAACAATTTGGTGAGTTCCATTTTGAATATTATTGATACTGATAAACTGTTTTCCAATATAAATTCCCTTTTTTCTGATTTCCAATGTTAATAAAATTTTTCAGGTAAACTCGCTGGTGCTATGAAAAGAAGTATTCAGGATGACTTTGTTACATTGGCAGTCAAATTTCTCCATTTCTTCATTTCCAAGTGCTTACAGTTCGGATATTTGCCAGCCCTGCTTGTTGCACGTTCTACAATGTCTCTGTTATTTTAGGTAGCATTTACTCGATCAATCTCATCGATGCCCGACAAACGTCTGTAAATTATAATACATTTTAAACAGATTCATTATAATCCACTGCGCGCAACTTTATCTGGAAAACTTAAGAGAAAAAAGGTAGGAGTTGAGGTGTAATCAATCGAGTTTGAGTCGATACAGTATTAAGTGTGAATTCGAACTTGATTCAAAATTTAAAGTTTGATATTCGGTTCGAATTCGATCGAGTTTCATTTTTTTAGTTTTAATTCGTTCGATTAGACTTGATTAACATATAAAAATAAATTCAATTCTTATAGTTGATAAAAGCTTGATTATTTATATTCGAGCTCGAGTTTAAGATATTTTATTAATTAAAATAATAAAAATATATTTAAATATAAAAGTTCAATTAGGCTCGCGAGCTATTCGAACTAAATATAAGAATGTTTGAATTCGGCTTGATCAATGAATTGTACTCGAACTCGAGCTCGGCTCGATAATAATCGAATCGAATTCAAGTTTTATTTGAATCGAATCTGAATAATTTATAAGTACTAATATATTATTTACATTCCTAAATAAGAGAAAGCGGACACCTAAAGTCACGGTGAATTGGTGATGTTAGGTCCATAATCTTCAACTTTGAGAGAAAAAATTTCTGTAGCAGCAAAGCCTATCAATCCATTAATGATGCTTTTTCTGGTTCCAAGTTGTAGGCAAAGAAAAATGCTATGTCAATTGAAAATCAATTATGAGATTTAAGTGGATTTTTAGCCCTTTCTGTTTTTGTTGAAATCACCTAAGAATGAGATTGAAGTTACTTGTTTTCCTAGCTTCTGGCCATGAATTTATGAACAATCTTTGCTAAACGGCCTTCTTATACTCTTTCCATATAACATACGAATCGGAAATAGACCAGAAAAGGGTCAAGAGTTTAAATGTCATGTCAAATTGAGTGATCAATTATCCTAAAAATTTAAGTTGACAGCAACCCAATTATTATTATACTTAAGCTGTAAACAAAGCCAAACATACTTAAAAAGTTATAACATAGATATTCACTAGCACTTACCCAATGTTGAAATGCTATGTTATTTGATCCGAAATGTGAAAGACTGTTCATCAGCTGAAGACAGTATTGAGAGGAAAAAGAAGTTGGGCCAAATGTTAAAAAGCAGGATAAATAGGGATTAGCGCAAGCGGATTTAGAGTTTGAATGTAAAATATTGAGGCGTGAAATATTCAAGATTGAAATTTTATGAATTTTTAATGATAAATAATTTATAAATTTAAAAAATCTTAAAAGATTTATAAATCTTCTTTTAGATTAATGATTTATTTTTAATTTTAGAGATGAAATAACCTCTCATTCTCTTAATTTTTTTTTCGACAAAAATAAATGTAAAAGCAAGATACACTATAATTTTCAAAGCCTAAATGTATTTTCATTTTTGGGCAAAGCTAAGGCCTAAATTTAATATACATATTGTCGGTAAGATTAGTATTTTAAACTTGATCGACCTTTAGAAAAGTGTTTATAATTCTTGGGGATGATCCTCTCTCTTGCATAGATTTTTCTTATTATGGCCAGTTCGAAGAAAGTTTTCAGGTCTGGATTTCTATCTTTATAATTCAACAATGAACAAAAAAAAACCGTGAGTTATTACTGAAGATTGAAAAGTAACCAAACCTCTCGATCATTGAACTTATATCGAAATTTCAAGTAAGCAACTTTTCTTTTCTTTTTTAATTAAGAAAAAATATTTATTTTGATTTTGAAAATAATCAACAAAATCTTTGGAGGATGAAAACACATCACTTATAATTGTTATAATATAATATAATTAATTAATTATAATTTAAAATTATATAACGTCTATCAAAATTTTATATAAAATCTATATTGTAAATGATAGATCCTTATATAATTATTTAATGTGATTAAATAATTATAAAATTATAATAAAAATTGTAAATGAGACTTTGTTAATACGAAACAATCAAAATTTGCAAGCATGTTAAAAATGAATAGTTTGGAGTCCAAGAAAAGAGGTTTACGATTATGCAGATACAGGTTGACTTTGTGCTTGGCGAGATTCGAATCAACCATATTTCTCCATTTTCTTATCTTATAAACTAACATAATTTAACGATATATAAGAAATTACAGTTTTATTTTTAATAAAGCCAGTCCCCATTTTCTGAACAAGTTAGCTGAGAAGAATAAAGATTATTATGCATCTTGACCCTATCAATATTGACCAACGAACCTTCCTTCTTACTACCAAATTTTAATTGAATAGTGTTTGTTAATAATAGATGAAGGCTTTGATCATGTGTAGATAAGAGGAATGTGAGATCATTGTTAAGGCAGAAGCGTTTCCCATTCATTTCAATTCAGTTGTTTCGGAAAAGGCCAGAACGTCAATCCAAGATAAGATTGAAAAAAGGAGGGAAGAAATTCCAAATTAGAATGGCATCAAAGTTGTATAATAACATGAAAAAAGCTATAATTTTTGTTGCCCTGCTCGGGCTGATTCTTGGCGTCTTAGCTCGCTCATGCTTTCAGGGGCTGCAGAAGAATGTGGAGGAAGAGACAGGAAGCTACTGCGGACAACAATTTGGTGAGTTTAATATTCTTAGTCCTAAAACTAAATCAACTTGATTCTGCCTGAATAGAGATAATGTCATTTGTTTTCCATGGTATATTAGATTTGACTAACATTTTGTAATTGGAATTTTGCAGATGAACTATGCAGTAATGTAAGCAGAAGCATTCAGGATACCTTTGTCACTTTAACAGTCAGTTTTCTCCATTTCTTCATTTCAAGGTGCCTACAGTTTAGATATTTGCCAGCATTGTTTCCTGCACCTTCGACCATGTCTCTGTCATTTTGTGTAGCATTTACTCGATCAATCTTATCGATGCCAGATAACCCTCTGGAATAACTTTTGATTTTACCTTTGGCTATCATCCACTGCTGTATTTCCAGCCACATGCATCCGTAACTCCTTTTTTTTTTTTTTATGGGGGGGGGGGGGGGGGGTGGGGGCGAAGGGGAGAAAAGGAAACGAGAGATGACTGAAGAGGGAGCAAGGGTAAAGGGTTGGGTTGGCATTGTGATGTGCACGTGAATTTGGGTAAAATAAAGTTACTATGACAGCATAGCCCATTCCAAGTATCTGAGAATGCAAAGCTAGGCAAACTGTTTACTTATGATAGGCAACAAACATGAATTATTAATATAAATCAATAATGATATCCAATTCTAGGTGGATTTCCACAGTTGTTCAAGTTTGACAAAAATAATTGGTCAAACTTTTATTCAATGTTTATAACCAACAACTTTTAACACAATAACATCTTCAACAAATTCTCATGTTACAATAAAGTTCTCATATTACAACAAAATATGGTATGGGTGGGGACTAAGGTGGATATGTAGAGAGGTTACCAAGAATACAAATTAAAACTTAATCTAATAGTTCCCCATCCAGTTGCTTAAGTGTAGGCATAACCTTGACCAGAATTGAATTAAATTTTTCATCAGCAATTGCATTCCCCACAATATCTAATTGCTTCAAGTTCAACTCTTTAAAAATAAAAAAAGCCTCCCAATGGTTAATAAGAGCAACATCACTGATCACAGTTTCATCGTTGTTCCATTCGCTTCCTACTGAATGAGACAAAGGAGAAGAGCACAAGTACCTTGTTGTGTCAATAGAATGTTCACCAATCTGGTTGTATGAAATATCCAATACTCTTAATAACTTCAGCTTTCTCAAAGGATCCAGTGCAGTAAAACTTCTCAGTTTATTGTTTCTCAAACTCAAGCAAGAGAGGAGCTGCATAGCTTCCAATCCTACCATTAAAATTAATGAAAATAATGCATTCAGTAAAGTGTAAGTGGTTGAAAGGATTATCTGTAAACATAAGTAAAAAGTTCTACTCCTAATCAGTACATACAACTCTAGTAAGGTGATAATTGGTCACACTGCAAACTACGAGTATGAAGGGAAAAAAGGCCCAAACAAGGAGCATCATGCATGAATTCATGGTTTTTGTGACTAAGAATAAAAGGGTATGAAGTGGAGTGGAGTCGAGTGTGAAAACAAGAATATATAAGAAACACTAAGGGCAGCTCAAGTGTAAGGAACTTAATTAAACAGCCTCCAATTTGACAAACAATATTTTAAACATTAGTTTGAATATTATACCTTCAATTGATTGTAGTTCATTATGGCTGAGATCTAATATTTGGACCCACAGTAATTTCTCAAAAGCTCCCATTCGTGATAGCGATAAATGATTCAGCCGGAGACAGATAGGTTTGCAAATAGTTGATGAAACTGAGTCCTTATACTGAAAGCAGTGTTTCATTAAAGATTCCCTACTAGAAGTCACCTATAAAATAGATAAATAAAAGGTTTTCTGTTAGCCTCCAAATAAATCTAATAATCTATACTAAAGTTAGAACAAAAGTGAAAACCTACATCTTATCATGAGTGGGGGTCAAAAATGCGTACAAACTGAGAGGACCAACATGCACAGAAACTTTCTAATACCTAAGTTGAGCTATTTGGATACTAAAAAGCTTAAATGGTGATGCTTTTGGAGACAAAATCACCGTGAAAAGAATGTACTGACCTGCTGCAGTAAGACTAAGCTACGTTCATCCTTGTAGTACGAGTAATGTGATGGATCCAACTTCATCAAATCACTATACAGTTCAAGAACTTCTTCTGAATGAACCAGTTTGTTAGCACATGAAAATGACATTGCATCATAAACCATCAACGATCTGGCAAGTGTAAGCTTTCCAATTTTACTACAAGAAAGAGGAACAAAAAGAAAAAGAAGAGATGTTGTATTAACAACGTTGCTTCTTAAATGTTTAATAAGGTACTGATAAAGTTAACCTGGTTTACCAGTCCATTAATGATAACAATTCGCGGAAGCATTCAATCTCTTTAGCTAAAGCCTCTGCACACCAGTTAGATGCCATTGGTTCATGATCATTCCTCATACTTAGTTGATCAAAAGAGAAAATAGGAATTGATTCCTCAGATTGTGTTCCATAGACCTTGAAATTTTCTCCTCTCCATAAAATACTTTCAGAAACTGAACCTTGAGAGGAATCTCTTTCAATAGGCTGTACATGTACTTTAAAGGAAAATATTGAAGGATAGCTATTTTGAGACCCACTTGCTGAAATTATTCCCTTAGAATGTCCAACACTAACTTTCACTGAAGAATGAAGCTCTGAAGTTGGAAATTTTAAATGTGCAACCCAAACTTGTGCAGTTTGTGAGTTGCTTAGTGAAAGTGGTTTCCAAACAAGATCTTCACTATTATTAAATCCAGATTCAACAGTAACTGTAGATGAGCTTACACCCTCAACAGATTGATTAAAATAAAGAACAATTGGAAATGACCCTGAATTGGATTGCAAAGTTGTGAATGGAGAAAAAGCAGAACCATTATTGCACCTATCTCCCAGTACAAGGACATCAGAACCATGAGCAGGCCAAGAAGAAACAAGGAGAGAAGAGTCAGCTTTAACTGTTTGGTCTAGAAGCCAAAGATGATAAAACCATCCACTTTGATCATCAGGGTCAGTAAATATAGCTTGGTGTATAAACTCAAACTCCTCTGGTAAGACACTCTCTTTGGAGAGAAACCCTTCAGCCTTTTTCTCAAGTAAAGTGGACAATAATACACTGCAGAAATTATTCGCACAGTACAAATCATCAGCAGACATATTGAGCATGAAGAGAAATATTATATACCAACAATCAGCATGTTATTTTGGATGATGATTCATAAATACAAAAAACACATAAACCAATTAAAGCCTAAGTCTGACAACAAATATCACATCACCAAAAGGGAAATTATATTGAATTGCCAGAACTTAATACACTTTTGTCACTACTACCACACCTCAATATAAAGCAACTTCACCATGGAAAACATCTACAACCAACTAGCATAGATAACATATTTATTTAAAAAATTAGCATTTACTTCCTATACACACAAGTAAAGCACCATAAAAATACTTGGACCTTAGAGTTACAAAAAGTTTTACCTGCGATTATGCCATGCTGAGTAGTTGCTAAAGTTCGTATAAATCATATCCTCAGTATACTTCAATTCATCCTGTTTTGATCTGTTCATCAATTCTGCAACAAATCTGGGAAGAAAATCAAAAGAAAACAACATGAATGGCACAAAAATAAGAATTGTCCACGCCTTCACACACACCAAGAATAACAACCCCAATGCCAAAGCAATTTTACCTCCTATAATTCCATGCATGAAAATTACGAGAATCAGCCTTCTGGAACTTGTCCAGCAATATTAGCTCATGATCAATCGACGAAAGGCCCTTGCTTAAAACCCATTTACGATGATGCCACGCTCCATATGACTTAAAATTTTGCCTCAATGCACTCTCTACCTACACGAATTCATTCGATCATTACATTTAAGGAAAGAAACAGAATTTTAAAAAACAAGTAAAGCAAAATAGCTTTAATAAAACTCAAATATAATTCAGATCGTAACTAATCCAAAGTCCAAAACTCGATCTTTTCTTTAATTTTGAACAAAATCGCATTGATTAAACTAAAAATAATGTAGTAAAAATCAAATCTTTGGGATAAGTAAGCGGCGCACCACTCTGAGTTCGTCATCGAGAATGGACTTGGCTGAGTTAGAATTAGACTTGGGTTGACTCAGATAGTGCTCAACAGCGAGTTTCCTATAGTTCCAGGCGGTGTAAGATTCAGGATTGATCTCAAGAAGTTTAGCACTGAGTTCAACTGCCTCTTTAGTGTAACTGACCAATTTTTTCATATCAAAAGGTCGAAAAAAAAAGAAGAATAAAAATTAAACTAGTTGGATCAGAGAAAGTGTAAAAGAAGATTATTAAAAAATAAAAATAAAAAGGATACATTTTATTGTGGTGATAGGAGAAGAATTGAGTTTGGAGAGCGCGTAGCTTCTGGGCTTTGGCAGCAGAAGCTGCTTCGTCTTCTGGTTTGGGTGCTTTGCGAGGCCGACCGTGCATTTTTTTTTTTTTGCTTTCCTCTGTTTCCTTGGTTTCGTCTTCTCCTCTTTTCTTATGGAGGAGGAGAAGCGTTGAGTCAAGGTTCTAATTAAGTTGGCACCTGGGCTCGGCAAATGGTTTTGGACCCAGAGCCCATTTGAACAGCGGGGAGATTCATTCCGCTCAAAAAATAATAAAGGAAGTGAAATTAATTATTATAATAATTAAATTAATATTAATAATAAAATATTTTTTTTGACATAAAATAATGGTGATAATGAAAGATTTTAAATTATTTAATATTTACAAAAATAATAAATTATTTTAAAATTAAATAACAGTTTTATTAACAAATAAATTAAAATTATTTATTAATTAATTTATTATATAATAATAAATTTTATTTTATATTAAAGTAACAAAAATCATTTTATAATTTTTAAAAAAAAAGTTAAAAATATGAGAAAAAATAAAAAAGTCAAAATAAAAAATTAGAAAAAAAAAGTTAAAAGTTGTTAACTTAAAGAGAAAAAAATAAATAAATAAAGAAGTTACGATTGGAATGAACTGGAACCTCTAGCTCCTGTAAGCAAACAACAAAAATCCTAATGCACCACTGTTGTTTGGATATAAAACTTACTGTTGGCCTAATTTTTCATAATAATTATACCGTCATCGAAGGTCCGATGCATTTTAATTGAGGCCTCATTAAGAGATTCAAAATTCCAATATTGAATTTTGACTAAAATTTTTTATTTAAATTATTAAACATTAATTTTATATCAATAATATTATTAAACTTTATTAATTATATCAAATTTAGAAAGTCTAATAGATTTTATCTAAAAATTTAAAAAAAAAAAAAGATTACAAATAAATCAACCAAAAATCTTCAAAATACAAAGAGGAGAAAATTACTCACAATAATTGATTCGAAAAACAAATCAAAATTTTTAAAAAAAAAAATAGAACCGGATATGCTAGCTGATAGGGTGTTGATATGGCACTCGTGGTCACTTACTTGGTAGTCATATCAAATTTTTTATTAATTTTTGGATGAAATCTGTTTTGGGTGACTTGATTTAATGTAGTTGTTAAAATTAAATAACTTGATTGGAACAAAATAAAGTTTAGTGATTCAAATAAAATTTTGATCAAAGTTAATAATCAATGAAGAAATTTACTCAAAATTTGGTTACATTTGAGATTGAAGCATGTTATTATTATTGAAATGGATATTTGGATTTTTTACGAGAAAATAAGGCAATAGGTCTATGTATCAAAGTATATGGTTCACCCTGTTTGAATGTATTAAGTAAATGTCTCATTAAATTTTCTTTATGAATAAGGTATAATTATTTATAATTTATGCTTTTGTTATATAATAGAGCTGAAATCAGGTCTTAATGATGATTAATTTATCAAATCAAACTCTTACATGAGAAAAAGAAACTCAATCAAGGTAGAACAAAATTTGGTGAATACAAAGTACACAACTGGAGTTGAACTCATGAAATAAGAAAAACAGTTTTTTTTTTGTCACAACCAATATAATGTTCAAGGTACATGAATCATAATAAGTTTATCAACTGCAACACCTTTAATAACTTTTCTAATAGACCTTTGCCAAAACATTTTAATTGCTCACATGCTTTTTGGCTGGGGTGCATACAGGGTTTGGAGGAGACAAATAACTTTATCGCCAGCAATATTGCTTGGCACATAGCAATAGCATATGATTAGTTGGTTCATGCAAGGGAGGTCAAGCACTCCAAATGGAAGATTCAGAAAAGGGTTCACTATCTTCACAGATATATATATATATATATAGGATAATAGACACAATTCAAGCTGCTCTTCATTCTTCAAAATGTTCAAATGCAGACATTTGAACCATAACAACAGTACTCATGTGGATCCTGCTCCAAAGTTCCCAATTTACATTAAAAACATTGAAGCAGATAACAGCAACTCTAATCTACTAATCGTGCAAAATTCTCTAGATGTCTGTAAAGAAATCTACTAGGAGTCCTGATTTGCCCTGTTCCCTCCATGGTTTCTCTAATTGCAAAATTAAATCCAGATGATCAAGCCAGCATCTGCTTTTTCCAGGCCCTATGCTTGGCCAGCATTTGCATGGATCCTCTCCACTGCTTGGTTTAAGCCAGGCATGATTTTTGAAGCCTCCATCTGACTCTGAGTTGGATCATTAACCATTGAAGCCAGCTCATCCCCGTCAGTCAATTTAACCAAATCAGTTAGATCATCATAAAACAAGGAGTTATTTTCCTCATCTGGAACCTCAGGATTGCTATGAATAGAATTCACAGCTATTAACTGCCCATTTTGAGAATTATCAGCAAGCTGGGGAGCCAATGCAACCTCTGCAGAAGGCTTTTTTTGCTCACTCAAGTCACTCTCTATCTTTGTATCCTGGAGATTCCTCATGACTTCTGTACCTAAAGTTTCTGAGCTCACGATAAAAGAATCAGTTTGAACCCATTCTGATTTTGGCAGATCATCTGAACCGATGACCAAATTGCCAGTAGTTTTGTCTTGAGAATGATCAGAGTTGTTCCCAGCAAGTTTTGTTTTCAACATTTTCTTCTTGAATCGGGTTTTCTTAGCCTTAGGAACATTCACAGACTCATCAGGATTACTAGCTGTCTCCATTGCCCTCTTTCTGCAAGGAATAACCGTTAGCTGAAAGTTGCCAAGTGCGTTATCAGATGATTCTGATGTACTTGACTGAATAGCCAGTAGAGCGGTTCTGGCAGCTTTGATCTCTGCCTCTTTTTTAGTTTTTGCTGCAGCTCCAATATACCGAATGCCTCCAATCTCAACTTTACATGAAAAGTGAGGCAATCGCCCTGGTGCTTCATCCTTCTGACACTTATATACTGGAATTGCATAATTCATCTTCTGTGCGTACTCCTGCAGTAGATTTTTGCACAAGCCTGTCTCATGCTGAAGCAGACATCCATACAAGAAGGTCATCCATGAATAAGATTTTTCTAAAATGAGAAGAAGCCATAACACCAAACTAAAGGAAAAGTACTAATCAAAACAACACTAGTTAATTTACTACAAGGTGGTTCAACAACTTAACAATAAAGTTTTAGAATTTATCATCACAAGCAACAAACCTCAAGTTCTGAAATGAAATCAATAAAGGAAAATGCCACCACAAAATGAATCCCATAAACTTAATCACAGTAAAATGAGATAAAGAAACTTACAACAGGTTGAGAGATGCTTTCATTAACTTCACCAGCCTTTAACAACTCCGTGAGAGCAACTTCAGCAGCAGACTGCTCTGCGGCCTTGCGGTTAAAAAATCCGGGCAGCGACTCATATTTAACATCATTTACTATCACTGTTGATCTGAATGATGGTTCATGGGAAGGGCCTTCCTTGATAGTCTCAAATACGGGAGTAGGAAGACCCATTTTCTGCGCATACTCCTGCAATCGGCTCTTGAAAACATAGCAATTCCAAACACCTGGTAATAATATTGGAATAAATGGCAACAAAACTAAGTTGCACTCCCACTTAAATGGGGAATGAAGAATTTTATGAATATCATAAAGGAACAATCCCCTACAACAATCAGCCAGGAAAAAAAATAAAAAAAAACACAATCCCATCATCGAACCTATAATGTTGAGCTCGAAAAAGCATCCTAGACAATCATCCAGGGTCAAGGAACATGATCTTTCAAAATACTTGGACAAATAACAGGAACAAAAGCTTCATAATTCATCATAGCAATTGAATCACTTGATATGTAACCATATAAATTGGATTTTTTTCCCAACAAAATACCCACTTTCACAATCACAATTTACCATTTACCTTCTCATCCAACGAAATTATACATACATAGATAAATGATAATTACTCAAATTAGATATAAATATAAATTTTATAATCTGCAAAATGATAAACTGAAGATCATCCAAGTTCGTTCAAGTGATAAACAAGAAATTTGAATCAAAAGAAAACCCATTTCAGAATCAATGGCTCATCATATTTATTTGGAAGAGAGCTTAAAACGAGTGTTCGTTAACAAAGGAATTTCCTGCAAGTAAATAATTTTTTTTTTGAGAAAAAAATTACCTGAGAAGTTTTCGTTGGTGGGCATGGCTTACTGACTATTGCGATTCTTGAGAGCTTTTGATGAATTGAAAATTTGAAGAAAATAAAACGAAATAAAATGAATTTGGGCGAGAAAATGAGACGAAGATACGGTGAAACTTTCCTAGCAGGAGCAGGGTACTGAAATGGAAAGGGTTTCTGTTCAGAATTCGGGGAAACTCGCGTGCACGGGAGTTAATGAAGGTGTGATATCAAGGCCTGCAAGAGATGGTTTGGGCCGTCCTCGTGGATTTAATCCTATAGCCTGTATCTGTATATCTAGATGCTCTGGGTCAACTCAAGAGGGTTGGCTATAAGCCAAATCCATGACATTTTTGTATAGGGAAAAACAAAAGAAGAAAATACGTATATTGGAAATCCATTTTTATTTTCTTCGTATTTCATATATATTCCACGTTATGATTTGGAGTCCCAAAGGTTCAAACTTTCATAGTATTTGTTCGATAGACTTTGATTTAATGACAAGAAAAATATTTTAGAATTTTAAATTTTTATATTTAAATTTTATTCTTTTGGTTTGATTATTTAATTATATTATAAGTTATTAATTATTATTCAATAATTACAATTTTATTGTAGTGTAATAATTGATTATTTAATTGATTATATGAATGTAATATTTGATAATAATTATAATTTTTTTTGTATTTGAAATTTAAAAAAAATTATTAATTTGATTGATTTGAATAAAATAATACAAAAATTCACGCTACTTTTTTTAATTCAAATTAATATAGCGATCCTTCTCACTGCTTGCAATTATAATAATGATTTCCTAATATAAGTAGAAGGAAACATGGAAAGAATGAAAAAACCTCTAAAACTTACAAAATTAATATTAAAAAACTACTTAATAAATTATGAAATTTAAGGATGATATATGCTTCTTATAATATATTTATAAAAAAATACTACATTAATTTTTATTTTTTTAATCTTATTTATAAAATTTTAAAAAAATTTCTCACGTATGAATTAATATTCATTAATACTATAATTATTAAATTTAATTGATAAATATAATTAATTTTAAAAAATAATATCAACAAATAATTAATTTAATCGATTAAATTCTTTCTTGACGAAAAAATTTTAAGTTCAAATTTTATCAGTAATTATTTATTAAGGTCATATCAAATGTACGATTTGTAATTATTTATCTTAAATTATCATATATGATATATCTTATATTAATTTAAAGATTAAATAATCTATTTACTTCTAAATTTTTTTTATTAAAAACAAGTTTTAAAAATAACACACAAAAAATTTTAACTTTAAAATTTTCTAATAAAACAAAAATAAGCCATTTGCAACCGACGTTTTGGCTAACCAGCCCAAGGGATATCTTAGTGTTGAGATAAGAACAATAAATGCCACCGTTACTTTTGAGTCTTGGCCAACAAATTGAGTCATCGATAAGAATGTAAAATAAGCATGCATTTACCAAATTTGTCCCTTTATTATAAATCTGCTGCTTTTCCTCTTGTTCATAAAATGCCAAACAACAGTAAAAGCTAGTAATAAGTTTGCACTTATCCTTTTCTTAGAAATTTTGTTGCTTTTCCACTTCTTAATACACGTGCATTTAAGGATGCAATTGAGTCAAAGTGAAGTTGATATAGTGAGAAGTTTGAGTTTAAGTTTGATTCATAATTTGTGATTCGATATTTGATTTAAATTCGATCGAGTTTTATTTTTTAAGTTCGAGTTCGATTCGTAATCAAATTCGAACTACTTGAACTCACTCAATTAAATTTGATTAATATGTAAAAATAAATTCGATACGTATACTTAATAAAAATTCGATTATTTATGTTCGAGTGTGAACTCGAATTCAAAATAATTTATTAATAAAAATATATTTAAATATAAAAATTTGATTAGACTCACGAGTTATTCCAGTCAGATATAAGAATACTTGAATTCAATTCGATTAATAAATCGAACTACTCGAGCTCGACTCAATAATAATCGAATCAAATTTGAATTTTTTTTTAATCGAACTCGAATAACTTACAAGTACTGATATATCATTTACACATTTACGTCAATCTAACGTTGTCAACAAATTAATTGTTATCATTTCATTAATTAATCAACATTAAAAAATTTAAATTTTTAAAAGTAAATATTTCTCTCAAATTTAGTAAAAACAGTATTAAATACAAATATTTTTAAAATAATAATTAAAATTTTTAAATCAATGTATGTAATCATTCATTAATCAAATTTTTATTTCAAAGACTGTTAAATTTTTTCAATTTAATCTTTAATAAGCTACATTATTCATGCGTTACTGTGAAAATTTTAACTAAAATATTAGGAAATTAAATTTTATTTTCAAATAGCATTAACTCCAACGTATAAATAGATTATTGGCTATAATTTTAAACTTAAAACTTATAAACCATTTTTATATATGATTTATATATTTCTAGTTATTAAGATGTCAAACGAGCAAACTTCACAAAGTAATTCCCCCATGTTTTGTTGGTAAAAAAAAAAAAATTACAAGATGTTTTGACAGCAACCGATTTTCCCCTGCTGACTTGTCATCAGTTCACTTGGTTCAATTGTGGGACTGTTGGTTAACTGTCAATAACTGTAAAATGGAAACTCACTCTTTTCAAGTCACCGGGAAACAATTTCATCGCATGGAATCGAGTACTTGTCATCCAAGCCAAACCCACAATGTCTCTCATTTCCAGACCCTTTCTGCAAAACCAGAGAAGACTCGGATCCAAGGATTGTTACAATTTGTTCAAATAATTCTCTCATTGGAGAAAATGAAATACCAAGTAATGGTATGATATTAAGCAAAGTTGAAGCAGAATTTTCTGTCTCAAAGGACGAAATAGCTGAATTAGCGAAGTTGATTGCTGGAAAAAGGATGCCTAGGAATGGTCTGATCGAAGAATTGTTAGAAAGAAACGTGGAAAGATCAGATTTTGTAGTATATGGAGCAAAAATGACATCTTATATTTTTATCATTCATACATGATGAGATATGTTATATAATGTAATTCCGTTTCAATTTACACATGAAATAGTATCATCTCATTTTTTATTAAATAAAATTATCTCGTATCTATTAAATATTAAATTTTATAATTTTATATAATCTTATATTAAAATATAGGGTTGACATCGAGTCGGGTTCGGACGAGTTTTGCTTGTCCCGAATCCGATCCTACCCAATTTTTTTTTTTTTGTTTTTTTCATACCTGAATCTGACCTCGACCCAATATCATATAAGTTGTATCCGATCCTACTCGAAATTAATAAAATATTTTTTAAATATAAAATATTATTTTTTAAATATAAATATTTAAAAATATCATTATATAAATATATATAAATAAAATAATTAAAAAATAAATTTTTATATAATATCTGGTCTAATCGAATTTGCCTAAAATTCAAACCCTACCCGACCTCGATTGTTTTTTAACTTTACCCGACCTAACCCAAAACCCAAAATTTAAAAAAAAAAATCGACCCCATAAGATCAAATCAAGTCGAAACTCGTCGAGAACGGATTAAATTACCGATTATATTCAAATGTGATCTACAAAGTTTTGGGTTTAATAAATTATAAAATTTAATAAATTATCAACTCATTTTTTAAGTTGGGCTTCTCAGTAAATATTCGTATTATTTTATTGTGTTGCCAAACTATTTAACTAATGTTTATTTATGCTTGCTTTGGCAATATATGGGAAACTTTAATGGATTAATATATCCACTCCAAAATGCTTTTTTTTTTCCAAATAATTTTGATATTTAAATTAAAATTTGATAAATAATAGTTTGCTTTTTTGGGAAAAAAGGAAATACTTTTCAAATTAATTGAGAATAAAGTATATTTTAATTAAACTTTAGTAAATGATATTACTTTCACTTCAAAAAAAAAAAAATAGTATAAGGTGTTAGTGCACTTGATCACGAGAAAAGCTTTTTTTTTATCAATTAAAATCCAATTGTTGAATGTGAACGCACTAAGCCGAAGTGGAATAACGCATTCGTAAGATGATTCGATGAGGATTAGATGAAATACTCTGATTGTATTAAAAGAAGGAACCAAATAAATTTGGAAAAAACTTAAATTTAATGTCTTATCCATTGGGCTTAAGAAAGGCAAAATAATTTATACTCAATAAAATTTGATTCATTTTGATATGATAAAATAATTTTAAAAATTAAAAATTAAAAGTCTAATCAGATATTAGTCGAGTTGGATATTTTTAAAATACGGAAAAATAAATTTTAAAATGCTTTACCTAATCTATTCCAATATACAATAAAAAATATATTTTATAATTTATTTAAATTTAAATTTATATATATATTAATAAAAACTATTATTCAATATCTTAATTTAAGATATAAGTTTAATAAATATAATAAATTTTTATATAATTAAAATATAATTTATATTAAAAATAATATTTTATAAATATTATATTAAATTAATTTCCAATCAAACGAAGATCAAATTATAAAGTTATATATATATATATATTAAAATCTAATATTAAAAGTAATAGCAGATATCAAATCAAAATCAAAATCAAATAAAATATTTTAAAAATTCGGACCATCCGATCCTTACCTTACGGACTAATTGCTGTAACAACGGGGCTTCATGGTTGTTATAGTCGTACCAAAATTAATTGAGTGTCAAACGTTAAAAAAAAAAAAAATCAAGGAAGTCACTTTCATATTTTAATTCAGTTTCATGATTTGATAACTTACTTTGGCAAAAAAAATTTTTTTCTTTATGATGTCAACCCATTTGATGCAAGCCACTATATATATATATATATTTATTGCGTGTTTGAATATCAAAATATTTATCTTAGAGATCAAATTAGTTCAAACACATATTCTGAATTCTTGTTGTTAGAATAATAAAACAAACTGCCATAAAAAATTGATAAACAATTAAATTAATTGATGGTTATTATTTGAGACATAATCATTCATTGGTTATGATTTTGATTTCTAAAAGAAAAATTGTCTTACATCATTAAAATGGTAGAAAGTCAATTCAAGGTTTTAATAAAAAAAAAATTACTGGTATTTTTTATTTTTTTATTTTGTATAATAAAAAGTAAAATATATAAAATATAAAATGAACTAAAAATAAAAAAGCCTAATCACTTTTCAATTTTCACTTTTTTATTCTTTGCACTGCAGTAAACGGAGGACTGTAACAATGAAAAAAATTTCTCTAGCAAAAAAAGTGAAAAAAAATTAAAAAAAAAAGGGAGAAAAAGACAACCTTCTGTTTTGTGTTCTTTTATATCGGCTTCGTCAACGATTGCTGTAATGAATTCGAACACGGAAAACGGAAAAGTGAAAACACTCCCCAAAGTTTTTCCCATCATTGCAATTAAAAGCGCATCTGTAAAAGTAAGAAAAAAAAAAAAAAGTAAAACCCGGACGGACCCCTCTTTTGTTTTCACTTTAAAATTTCTGGTCAAGCCTTTCTTTCTTTGGGTCCCTCTGCCAAAACAAACACTCTTTCAACTCCACCCTCTCTTGCTCTGATCAAACCCCAAATCTTCTAGGTTTTTGTTTCACTTGAATTTTCATTTTTATTTGCTTTATTTGTTGGGTTTCGTTATTTTTTGGGGTTAGAGATGAGTTCGAGCTCGGATTTGGTGAGTTTTGTTGAATCGGTATTGGGAGTATCGTTAGGGGGTTCTGTATCGGATTCTATGATAGTGATCGCAACGACGTTGTTGGCGGTGATTCTGGGGCTCTTGGTTTTTCTCTGGAAAAATTCGGCTTCTGATCGGAGCCGTGATGTCAAGCCGTTGGTTGCTCCTAAGCCTGTTTCACTCAAAGGTGATGAAGATGATGACGCCGTTATCGCTGCCGGTAAAGCTAAAGTTACCATTTTTTACGGCACCCAGACTGGAACCGCTGAGGGATTTGCTAAGGTAGAAAAAAAAAAAGAAACTTTAAAGTTTTGATTTTGATTGCTGAGTATGATGATTTGATTGTTATGTTGAAAATGTAGGACTTTGACTGTTGACTAATTGAGCGAACTAAACCTTTTTGCTTATGGAAAATAGGAAGAAAATTGATGTCATTACTGCTAATCAAGCTTATTCTTTTAATCACTGATTTGTTGTGGGAAATTGGGTTAGGGTATAATTAATTACATGATACAGGTCAAGATTAAGAAGTTGCAAAGAGATGAAGGGAGTGATTTTTTTATAGTTAATTTTATGAAGAAATTTAGGGGTAAAGGCTATATTTGAAGTTTAATGTACATTTCATACACCTTCCAAGATTTCAGCAATTTAGCTGTAGGTTTAGTTGTAATAAATTTTTTATTCGGTAGCTATTTAGCTGCAGCATTGATTTGCTAAGTTTTTATGTAGTTAGCTTTCGGCACTCAGAGCTCAAAGAAATCTGGACATGACTATAGATAGAAACGTGGCGTCAATGGTTGTTGGTAGTAAATCTTTGTTATTAATTGTTTTGTCGCCTATAGCGGCTAATTTAGCTACATGGGGAGTTATTTTTCTTTTGTTACTTGCCATTACACTGGGCCGAAATTGATGTGTTCTTGGCATGTGGCACCGCATGATCGGAAGAGATGTCTGTTTTTATTTAAATGTTCATGTTTTGATGTGAGAATTCCCTAATGTAGGCTTTAGCTGAAGAGATTAAGGCAAGATATGAGAAAGCAGCTGTCAAAGTTGTTGACCTGGTATGTATAGGGAATTACTCTGTTGCTTTGTTTTCTTACTTGAGAATTTTTTCTAGTATTTACAATTACATTCATCAAATTGTGTATTTTTTATGTTAGGATGATTATGCTGTGGATGATGAACAATATGAAGAGAAGCTCAAAAAGGAGACTTTGGCTTTTTTCATGGTGGCCACGTAAGATTGATTCTCACTTCAATTGGCACTATTCTTGGTTGTGTATTTGTTTTGGCGTTATATAAAGTATGAGGTATTTAATATAGTTGAGCATGAAATTGTAGTTATGGAGACGGCGAGCCAACTGATAACGCTGCTAGATTTTACAAATGGTTTACTGAGGTTGGTGGCTATCTAAAAAGAACATTCAAATTTAGACTTTGTATTATGCCAGCACTTGCCATATTTGTTAATTGACACTCATTGTTACATTTTATTATTCTACTTTAGGGAAATGAAAGGGAGCCCTGGCTTCAACAACTCATATATGGTGTTTTTGGCTTGGGTAACCGTCAATATGAACATTTTAATAAGGTAACATTGAAACAGAGACACATGACCCACCCACTGAATAAAGCACTTGAGATTACACAATTTTGCTTGCTTGTTTTTCTCCTTTGGAATTGTGTAAACTGATTTGATCATATATTTTTGGAAATAGATAGCAAAGGTGCTTGATGAGCAACTTTCTGAACAAGGTATTTTCCTATTTTACTTATTTTTAGATTCCACCCTTCAGATCTAATTGATGGCATTCTTCTTACTATTGATGCGGAGTCAAAGTATCAATGTCAGGTGGGAATTGTGAAATTCAGGATGAAAATTAATACTCAAGGTTCCTTGGGTACCATACATATAAGCAGCATATTCCTGCTTAGGAAAATAAATATATATAAGCATATTCCCTACGGGCTCTCTGGACATCTTTTAAGAATTGTCTTAAAAATAAGAGTTAGAAAAATAGATTTCACTATTGTGCTATCATCCTTCTGTTACAAGGAAACTAATAGATTGCATGTCTCCTGCTATTATTTGCATCTATACTTTAGTGTTGAGAAATTGGAGGGAATGATGATATTCATTTGTTACTAATTTTATGACTTTTTCTTGTGCAAAAAGGTGCGAAACGCCTTATTGAAGTGGGTCTTGGTGATGATGACCAATGTATTGAAGATGATTTTACTGCATGGTATGTTAAACTCTTTCAGTCATTCTCTGTAGCTTTCTTACTGTCTCTCTCAGTGATTCTGTTGCATTTTTTTGTTGAAGCTGAAGCATCATCTTAACTTGGTGACAATGGAACTTTTCTTGGGACAGGACTTCAATCTTGTGCTCTTTTAGCTTTGCTGTAATTTTTTTTGCTTTTTTAATTTTTTGTTCCTCCCTTAGGAGAGAATTGCTATGGCCAGAGTTAGATCAACTGCTTAGAGATGAAGATGATGAAAATACTGCCTCTACCCCATATACAGCTGCTATTCCTGAATATAGAGTAGTGATTCATGATCCTGCTGTGATGCACATCGAGGATAATTACTCAAATAGGGCAAATGGGAATGCTTCATGTGACATCCAACATCCATGCAGGTAATAAGGGATGTGCATTGCGTTGGTTTTCTCAACCCCTCCCCCCTGCTTTTGTTATCCTTTCTGAGATCACTGTTACATGATTGGCACACAGAGTTAATGTTGCTGTTCAGAGAGAGCTCCACAAGCCTGAATCTGACCGCTCTTGCATACATCTGGAGTTTGACATATCAGGGACTGGTATCATGTAAGTTCACAGCTTTGTAATGTTTGTTACCATAAACTGGTATCATGTAAGTTCACAGCTTTGTAATGGTTGTTACTATAAATTTAAAATTGATTTTCTGTGAATCAATATCAGTGAAAGTAATAGTAATATTTTGCTGCGTTTAAGTGCTTTTGACCCCATGGATTTGGTTTTACAAGGATAGATAACATTGCCTTATGATTTATAACCTTATACTCCTGCAATTAATAAGTTCAACTGTCCCAGATATGAAACTGGAGATCATGTTGGTGTTTATGCTGATAATTGCATTGAGACTGTCGAGGAAGCTGCAAGATTATTGGGTCAACCTCTGAATTTGCTGTTTTCTATACACACCGACAACGAGGATGGTACATCCCTTGGAAGCTCATTGCCACCTCCTTTTGCTGGTCCCTGTACACTTCGATCGGCATTGGCACGATATGCAGATCTCTTAAACCCTCCACGGAAGGTAAAATAACCTTCCTCCCGGAAGGGAAAAAAATTTTCCAGCTGATTTCTGCCTTATCTTCTAGTCTCTTTTGTTGCTTAAATAACTGGTTTCTTTGTATCCATCTTTTTTTTGTTGTCAGGCTTCTTTGATTGCCTTGGCTGCTCATGCCACTGAACCCAGTGAAGCAGAAAGACTTAAGTTCTTATCATCACCGCAGGGGAAGGTTGACAAGATACTTAGTGCTGCTTTTGTTTTTCTCCCTTTTTGTCTGATCATGTTACTCTTGTTTCTTATGTTTCTTATTGATTATGTGCTCTTCTTCCTTTTGCTCAGGATGAGTACTCACAATGGGTTGTTGGAAGTCAGAGAAGTCTTCTCGAGGTTATGGCTGAGTTCCCATCAGCAAAACCTCCCCTTGGTGTATTTTTTGCTGCTGTAGCCCCTCGTTTACAACCTCGTTATTATTCTATCTCATCCTCCCCGAGGTGATTGAAATTATCCTATCTATATTATCAATATGCAGTATTACTTATACTTAAGATTTATGAGAAGGTTGATTACTTTGAGCAGGTTTGTACCCCATAGAGTTCATGTAACCTGTGCATTAGTTTATGGTCCAACTCCAACTGGCAGAATTCACAAGGGTGTGTGTTCAACCTGGATGAAGGTAGCGATTGAAATTTATTCTGTTTGTTTTCCCATTTTTATGCTTCATTCTTATTGGTTTTTTTTTTTTTTTTTTGCAAAGCTTGCTGATATCTGCTACCTGCTAGACATTACTTAGGCTTTAGCGACATCTGACATGTAACTGTATTAAAAAAATTCAGAATGCAGTTCCTCTGGAGAAAAGCAATGATTGTAGCTGGGCTCCTATTTTTATCAGGCAATCTAATTTTAAGCTACCAGCAGATCCTTCAGTTCCAGTTATAATGGTTGGACCTGGGACTGGATTGGCACCTTTCAGAGGTTTTCTACAGGTTGATTACTCTGTTCTACATTTTCTTTTATTTTGCAAAAGGAAGAAAATAACTTAAACTAATTGCTATTTGCAGGAAAGAATGGTTCTTAGAGAAGATGGTGCTGAACTTGGTCCATCTCTACTCTTTTTTGGATGTAGGAATAGGCGAATGGTTAGGATCCGATTCTGATACTAATAATCTTTTAGCAACGTTATTAGCATGTCTCATTGTAATTGGCAGCCAATGTTGGTATTCATTTGTAAGATTTATTTATTTACTTTTTTGGCAACTTTTGTAGGATTTCATTTATGAGGATGAGCTCAATAACTTTGTGGAACAAGGTGCTCTGTCTGAGCTCATCGTTGCATTCTCACGAGAGGGGCCACAAAAGGAGTATGTGCAACATAAGATGATGGATAAAGTAAGTTGTAGGAAGCAACAGAATTTGGAGTTAACGAAATAAAAGTGGTGCATTATAACACCTGTTCCTTTCGGTTTACAGGCAGCATATTTTTGGAGCCTAATCTCTAAGGGAGGATATCTTTATGTATGTGGTGATGCGAAGGGTATGGCAAGAGATGTTCATCGCACCTTGCACACTATTGTTCAGGAGCAGGTATTGACTCTTTCTATTTTCTTCTTTCTCTGTGCGGATAAACTTAATATAAAGTTTTTCAGGTATGCTTGTAATGATAATAGTTTCACCATCAACACATCCTGGGAGTTAGCCTTTCTTATTATAAAATTTGGTGTCCTTTATTCAATAGGCACTTCTTGTAACATTAATCTCAAAACTTGTCTATAAATTTCAGGAAAGCGTGGATTCATCAAAGGCAGAGTCTATGGTGAAGAAACTCCAGATGGAAGGACGATATCTTAGAGATGTCTGGTGATGGTGGCCATTTTTATTTTCTCTTTAGTTCATTAAAACATCCATGCCCAATGTGGTGGTGGATTTATTTTCTAGTTCTATCTTCTTTCCCTGGTTCATCTCTGCCCATCCGGGATAAAAACAGCCGGTTGGATGCTGTAGTAGCGGAAACATAAACTGGTTTCATCTTGTGATAGGAGCCATCTGCTAGATGTTAATCCACCTTTCTCTTTCTTCTTTTCTAATCTCAAATAATACACTGAATATAGAAGGATCATTTGCTTTTAGACTTCCCCCGTCTCCATTCAAAATTCAACAAGGGAACAGTATAATAGCTAGTTACAAGGATGTCAAAACATAGTCAAAGCTGTTTTCAGGTTATTCGGGATGGTCATCGTTCTAGTGTTTGTAGTGAAAAAAATAAAACTGGATGTTTGGCTATTTTATGGGATGGTCATCATTCAAGTATTGTCTCTTAAACTAGAAAAACTAAGGCCTTGTTTGGATTGTGAATAAAAAAGGAGGAATTAAATGAGAAAAATAGAAAATGTTATTTTCCATAGTTTGTGAATAACTATTGTGTCAGGTCATGGTTTCTACTTGGAAAACTATATTTTTCTCAAAACATTTTTGTCCAAAAGGAAATCTAAAATGAACACCAGCAGTTGTTTGATGTCTATTCAATAGAACATGTGAGCATCTTTTTGATAACTGTGTTAAGGCCAGCGATGCTTTGTCGGATTCAGGGCCTATGAAAGTCAAATGGTTTTTTTTTTTTTTAAAGAGATGAATGAGTGGTTGGTGTTTCATGACATCGCACAGATTCCCACATTTATTTTGTTTTGGACTTTACTAATTTGTACACATATTTTTGTCTCGCTCTTTTATTTTTCTTGTTCGTATTAGCTCTTGTGGTTGTTAGATTCTACCCTCTGAAGTGAAAACAACCAAAAAAAAAAAAAAGGTAAAGACTTTGGGAAAGGAATTTCATCCTTAATTTTTTTCAGTTTTTACAAGGAATCATGTCTTGGAAAATGGTCAAGTTGTCCAATTCATTTTCTCCTTATTATTATCATTTTTATTTTTAAATACATGCACTATTTTATTTATTTTATTTTATCTTGTGGAGTTGAACAAAGTATTTGTTTTCTTTTGTTTTTATTTTATAAAGTAAACTTAAGTTTGAAAAAAACAAAAAGAATTGGTGGTATTAAAATTTGAATTTAAAATATATTAAATGTTATTTTTTAAAAATAGTTTTATGAATTAATTATAACAAAATTTAAATTTTTTTATTAATTTGGAAGAAAGAGAAGATTAATGGAGCATAATAATTGTGTAATTCAAAATAAAAGTTTTTTAAAAATATATTTAAAATAGCAGTTAATGCTGGAACAACTAGGCTTCAATTAGCTTTTTTTTTTTCCTTGCCTTAAAAGAATTTTATTAAATAATGCACTAAAATTTCTTATACGAAAGAGAAGATTAATGACTCTAGTTCTTCGATTCAAGCACTAAAATTTACCCAAAATATCTAATATACATATATATATATGAGTAAATAGCATATTTCTTAAATTTTAGATCAAATTTTATTTTGGTCTTTAAATTTTAAAAAAATTTTAATCGAGTTCTCAATTTAAAGATCAATGTAATCATTTTATCTGTTGGATCATCTAAATTAATATAAAATTTCATATAGCATAACAGGTAACTTTTAAAATTTTAAATACGTTAAATTTTAAAGTTGACTTAAATATATGTAATTAAAAATTAAAAATTAAAAATAAAAGAAACCCTAAATCAATACTCTAATATAACTTGATTTTATTTTTTTTACTTTGTTCTCCCTTTCTTCTTTTTGCTCCCTTTTTATTCCAACAGCCAATAGATGACCAACCACTTAAAATGGCCAGATAGGGTAGCATTTGTCACTTCCACCACCTACATCGGAGCTGGAGTTCAAAGTTGATCTACCTTTGTCAGATGAAATGCAAGTGATTAGATTCGACATTGTTAAGGTTAATCCTATCCAACCTTTCTCCAATCAAGATTCTAGCAAACTATCTCCTCCATCCATTCCTAGCTTACTACCTTAGCAGTGCTTGTATTACTTTTTCATTTATTTTTAAAAAATTTTGTTCTATTTTCTTATTCAAGAGATGATGAATCTTCTAAAAAGTATTTACAGTTTGAGAGAAAATAAATTTGTACTATTCAAATTCTTCTTATAAATAATCGATTATCTCTCGTGCTCGTTATTACTTATTTATTGCTTTCAATTTTCATTTTCCAAGAAAAATACATTCACCTAACATTGGGTTATAAGTATAAATATTTTTTCACTTAATTTTTTAAAAAATTTGTTCTCTATATTGGATTTAGGTTTTTTCTCATTTTGAAATTTACCGATAATTTGTCGAGTATCCTTTTCTTTAGTAGCCTTTCTATGGAGAATATTTCATTAAAGGTATATGACTTTCAATTGAAACATTTTATCATTTTATTTTGGTTCCCTTATCCCTTGAACCATAGACAATTCATCTAAAAATATGGTCATTGGGAAATTGTTAAATCCATGGGTATTTCAAGCTTAAAAATAATATTGGGATTTTAATTTGAATATGGTTTTTTGCATATTGTATTTTCATAAATATTTTTCTTAGAAAAACTCGTTCATTTCTCCCATCGATTCTAATTATCAGTAATTTTTTAATTGGATTTCTTTTGAAAATTTATTATGTTTGCTTTATTAGATTTAAGTCTTTCAACATTTTAGGTTTTTTTGAAAGTTTAATGGGTACATTTATCCATATAAGTAATCTCTTAAATGGATATTGGTTGTCAAATTACAAGTTATAACTCTTTATCTCTTTATTTTCTCAAATTCCTTTCTGTTTCTTGCACTTGCTTTTGAAAAAAAAAAATTTCTCCCATTTTGTTGAAATTTAAAAATAGACCAATCTTTTCCTAATTTGAAGAATCCACTTGAATTAAAAAAAAAAAATCATCAAATTTAAAATTTGTTTAATGATTATTTGACTACCCATTTTTCATTTAAGTTATTTGCAATTTCTTTTTCAATGCAAGTACATTTCTTTTTCCTTTCCCAATTATAAAAACTAGAATTTTATTTTATTATCATTGCATTATAGTTTTGGTTTAATAGGAAAGATTTTAATAAAAAAAATGTGAAATAAATCACAATAACTTATTACTGACTTTGTTTTTTTTTTATTTTATTTATTTTATTTTTGAATATGAAATAAGCAAGGAAATGTTATTTGGGATTGTAGATTAATTTATAACTTAACTGAGATTCATTTGACTTTTTTAGTAGTGAAAAAATATGATTTTTTTAATTTCTATTTGTGATTTTTTCATTTTTAAAATCTATTAGATATTTGAAATGTGTTGAAATGGCGTTCTATTGTCAATCTTGCTAGATTTGATATTGATTAATATTAAGTATCTAACTTAAAATCAATTGATAATAAATAGAGGGACTCAACCTAAATATATGATTACAAAAAATTAAATATTTATTAGATGCAAAATAACACTATTTTAACAAACCCCTATAACGTGCAAACGAAAATGAAATAAATCTATCACATGATATATTTAGAAAAAATAATAAAAAAAATCTTAACCTAATACCAATCAACAATAAGTAGAATGATTCAATCTAAATATAAAATTATCAAAAATTAAATATTTATTATATTTAAAATAACACCACTTGGACAATTAAAGGTTCAAATTTTCTTTATATTTGGATCCAAAATCACGTAACTCTGTTGAAAAAAGAAAGTTGCAATTTTGGAATGGATTGTTTTATAGAATAGTTTTCAAGTTTTATGCTTATTATGCGCTGATATTAGAACTGTCACTTTTATCTTTGCTTAATGTTTTTTTATTTTTTGCATAATATTTTTCTCATAAATATTTTTGGTTTGTAGACTACTATTTCATATTGGAAATATTTATTTAAGAAAATTGTTGTTTTTCAAGTTTCAATGTCCTGATGTGACACTTGGGCTAAGATATCATGGATTAAAATAGAGATTTGCTTAGCATTTCAATGGCTAAAAGGACCTTTGTTGTAGTCAAAATACAAAAAATAGACAATTATGCAAAATCATGGCTTGAACTTTTGTCTTTCATTATATAAATTTGTTTGAGAAACCTTAAACCCCCAATTCCATTACTTATTTTTAAATTTCTCTTACATTTCTCTCTATTTAATGATGTAACTTTTAGTATCTCTTACATTTTTGTTTACTCAATGCCTCTTACATTCTTGAACTTATTTGTTCGATAAGAATCACCAATTAAAAACCAAGAACAAAATATGTTGTTGTTGAATAAATGTTTTGTTAGAAACATTTTTTTTTTTTGTAAAAAAAAATTCAAAGTAAATAAGTTGCTTAATCTTTTAGATCAAAGTAAGATATGTCGTATCCGATAGCTTAAAACAAATGACTGTAAGTCGTGCATTCGAGATGATCTCAATAAGTGATCACTGGTAGGGCTTGAACTTAAAATATCTTCATCGAGGAAGACAAACCTTAATCGATTGAACTTTTAGTATCTTTTACATTTCTGTCTACTCAATGCCTCTTACATTCCTCAACTTATTTGTTTGATAAGAATCACCAACTGAAAAACCAAGAACAAAATATGCTGTTATTGAATAAATGTTCTATTAGAAACATATTTTTTTTTTGTAGGAAAAAAATCTGAAATAAATAGGTTACTCAATCTTTTAGGTTAAAATAAGATGTACATTTCTGTCTACTCAATGCCTCTTACATTCCTCAACTTATTTGTTTGATAAGAATCACCAACTGAAAAACCAAGAACAAAATATGCTGTTATTGAATAAATGTTCTATTAGAAACATATTTTTTTTTTGTAGGAAAAAAATCTGAAATAAATAAGTTACTCAATCTTTTAGGTTAAAATAAGATGTGTTGTACCTGACAGTTTAAGATAGATAACTACAAGTCTTGCATTCGAGATGATCTTAACAAGTAACCACCGACAAAACTTAAATCTAAGATCTCTTCATCGAAAAAAATAAACCTTAATCGATTAAATCAATCACTTATTGTTATTAAAATATATTAAAAACATAATCTAAAAAATAATAATATACTATTTTATACTTTTTTAAACATGAAAAAAAGAGATTATCATCGAAGAACCCCCACAAAAAAAAGTATGATCCACATATAATTTATATAATTTGATTAAATAAACTTACTCAATCACAGATTTAATACATGGATACAGCTAAATATTAATTAAATATAACCTTTTTCAATCATTGCATGTTGAATAATATATTCCCACCACAAAATCAAGTTTAAAGATTTTTATTATTAAATGAAACATTGATTATATGCTATTGACAATTTTTCAATAATTTTATATTTGAGATGTTTATAAACAATTTGGTATTACAAATATAAATTTATAATAGTTATGTCAAACATATTTATTTTACCTTTTAAAATATATTTTTTTATTTTTATAATATATATTAAATAATAAAACGATAAATCGCATCAATGTGCGAATTGCGATCTTTTCACGGACAAAAAGGTGGCGGCCGATTACCATAATCAATAGTTTCAGTTTAATATAACTATATATAAAGAAAAATCTCTCATTTAAAACATTTTTTATTTTGTCATATTTTAGAGTTTGTCAAAAGATTTTGGAGCAACGGAGTTGATGCTTTTACGTGAAAAAGACCCAGATTTTCTCAAAGATTATAGACTTGACCTATCGATTGATGGAAAATTATACAACCTAGATTTCCTTTTGAATATTCAAATTCCAAAATTAGCAACACAGTAAAACGCAATTATAAGAAGAAAGGAAGGGCATTATCGTCAAAGAACGCTCCGTCCTCCCGAATTTTCTTCCGTCCCTCAAGGGCTCCTCTAGTCCTCTCACATCCCACTAATCATCGTCGCTCTTAATTTTTTGTCAACAAAAAAAGAAATACAATAAAAATAAATCCCTTTTACGGAGACATCCCGTTTCTTTCTCCCCAAGAACCTTGTCAGGCGCGTGCTTTTCACGCTCTTTAACGGTCCCCTTCCCTCAATCACTACTATACACGCTTCTCCTCTCCTCCTCTCCTCCTTCAACTTTTCCCTCTCTCTTTCCGTTTCTCTCTCCATTGAAAGGGTTTTAGCTTTCCCTTTCTCTCTTATCTTAAACCCTTATCTAGGGTTGTGACCGATTCCAAAACCCCCAATACAACTTCTTTTTCCACTAATTTCGCCATCCGTAATATGCAATTTTCCAGCAATCAACAAATATGATTGACAAAACCAATAAGCAGATAAAGGGTTCAATCAGTGAGGAAGATATCTCTACTCTTTTACAAAGGTCCGTCCCCTTTTTTTCCTTTTTATTTTCATTAGTTTTATCTTTACTTTGTTTTTTTATTTTTTTTATTTTCTTGTGGTTTGGGCAGGTATACAGCAACTACTATTTTGACACTGTTGCAAGAAGTGGCACAATTTCCTGGTGTGAAGCTGAATTGGAATGCTTTAGTGAAGAAGACTTCTACTGGGATTTCCAATGCGAGAGAGTACCAGATGTTATGGCGCCAGTTGGCCTACCGCGACGCGTTGCTTGAAAAGTTGGAAGATGGGGCTGAACCCTTGGTCGGTTTTATAGTTTTTGTTTTCCTTTGATATATATGTTTCTATCTTTTGGCAATGCTAAGGGTATGCTGAAATGTTTTGTGGGAATTGCTGTCAAAAGAAAATACACCCTTACATAATATTTCAATATGATGTCAATCTGTTCTGTATATTGGGTTGCTTTTCGTTAATTGAGGGTATATATGTTTCCAGATATTAACTTATAGCCTGCCAATGTGCTACAGTATTGCTTCGGCTTTGGAATTTGGACTTTTGATCATATTTGGTCCACCGATCAAAGGGCTATAGTCGTGGTTATTTTACAAATAAGTCCTTTTGGTTGAAGGAGATGTGTTCTTGGTAGTTGTTGCTCTAGTCTCATTCGTTTTTACGTTTTATTTTGCAGGATGACGACAGTGACTTAGAATATGAATTGGAACCTTGCCCTTCTGTTAGTAGTGAAGCTTCAGCAGAGGCTGCAGCATGTGTGAAGGTAAGTAAAATATATGTGATTGCCATAAAAAAGAAAATAAGGGTTTTACATCTTCTATCATTTGTGGTTGATGATCATTTAACCTCTTTAGGATGGAAAAAGGTAATGGTAGCGTTGAATATATAAGTAACAAGCGACAAAGTTAGCACCAAATCCATTTGTGGCATGGTTGGTAGTATCTCTTGCCAGTTACATAATTGGGTTCTGAATATTCCAATGGTTGGAATATTAAAAAGTATGAAAATATTTTAGACTATGTGGGTCATATGAAGTGTTACAAGTAGAAGAACCCATACTACGAGTGAAAGGGAAAATGTAAAGGCTACCATTAAAGCAGCCCAAGCAAGACTTACTATATCTACTTGTATTATGTCCCTTATCTCTATGAATATGAAACAAATATGAAGGAATTACCGGTGTGGAGTCAAAAAGAAAAGAGAATTCTAACACACCACCATTGATGAAACACTTCAATAAATTCACTTATAACAAGTTCTTATATGATTTCTAGTAAAATTGAGAACCATTAAATTCAAGCAAATATGCAGTAACACTTTCGGAAGTATCAAAAGAATGTTACTCACATGTAGCAATAATAAGACTTATTCGTTCTTTTGGTGTCCTTTATTAAATAAAAACCAAGTATCCATCCAATGTAATATTGATTGGATACTTGAACACTCAGAGACTTTCATTAGTGTGTATACAAAGTGTTTTCCAACCCTTGTACAACCATTCATTAGTTATTTAGACACTTCAGTTATCCAATCTAATTTAAGACTCCGCTGGTAGCCCCTCTATTAGTATGGGAGGGGCTACCATATCAAAATTTACTGATTCCCATCTGCTATTATGGTTTTTCCTTGAATCCTAGACGTAAGGATTTACAACACTTTAGAAAACAAAACCTCCGGAAGTTTATAATCAAGTTTATAATCAAGAAAGTATCAAGAGTCCTTTTCTTACACTTGTTTTTGCCGGAGAAAATTGGTCGAGTTATATCAGCAAAACAGAATATAGGATTTCGCGTTTTTTGTTGATCAGGCGACACCCGGATTTGAACTGGGGAATAAGGGATTTGCAGTCCCCCGCCTTACCGCTCGGCCATGTCGCCAAAAGGCTACAAACAAAAAAATGAGTATCCTTTTTTTATTATCAAGAATATAAACTGAATCAAGAACAAAAGTGGAATAAAGAACAAAAATGTAAAAAATACAATTTTAAAAAACATTATAGATATGATTTTTTATCATATAAATCTATTAATTATCAAGATAAGAGGGACTTGTATACTTATGGATCACCATTGCAAGAAAATAAGAGGGAAGAGATTTCTTATAATTAGAACATGGATAAATGAAATTTTTTTGATACACTGGGGATATTCCTATCCATAATTATATGGGAGAAGACGATATTCTACATGCAACGGGGAGATTTTTGCGTTGAAAATTTCTTAAAAGGAGAATTCTTCATTTTGTCTTAGAAATAAGGCCGATATTAAGTCCTGGGTCGACACCACTACCAAGAGTAACAAAAATATTAAGACTATAACCTGCGTCCGCTTTCATACAATTAGATACAACATTATCAATTTTTGAAACAAGAATTAAAGTAGTCAATCTTTTAGCTCCTTATCATTGTGGAGGAAAAATCATACTATTTGGGGGAGCTGGGGCAGGTAAAAGAGTACTCATTATGGAATTGATCAACAACATTACCAAAACTCATGGGATTGTATCCGTATTCGACGGAGTAAGTGAACGTACTCGTGAAGGAAATGAAAGAATCTGGAGTAATTAATGAACAAAATCTTACGGAAGCAAAAGTGGCTTTAGTCTACGGTCAGATGAATGAACCGCCAAGAGCTTGTATGAGAGTTGGGTTGACTGCCCTAACTATGGCGGAATATATCCGAGATGTTAATGAACAAGACGCATGCGAATATTTTAAACTGTGTGGGTCATTTGGAGTGTTACAAGTAGAAGACAAATTTTCACCTAATCTGGTTAATGGCTAACCTGTAATCTCAATCAAACAGATAAATATAACCTCATGGAAATCAAACTGATAATAGTTTTGGCTGTCTGACTACCTGCTCTTCTTCGAGTTTCAAAACTGTTTTATCTTATTGTTCACTTTTTTCCTAGCCAGTCAGCTTAGATGGTTCTTGTCAGGTACTGATTGCTTCTGGTTTACCAAATGACTCAAGTCTTGCAAGCAACTCAACGGTAGAGGCACCATTAACAATAAATATACCTAATGAGCGGTCATTTAGAGTGTCTTCAGAAAACTCACAGCCCACTTGCTCAATGCAAGGGATGAACATAACTGTTCCAGTTTCTGTTCAGAAAAAGATTCTGCCTGCAGTTACATCGGTTGAAACATTGGAAGGAAATGGATCAGCTGGTGCAAAACCGCCTGCTCGAAGGAAAAGAAAACCTTGGTCAGAAGCAGAGGATATGGAACTTATTGCTGCTGTGCAGAAATGTGGTGTTGGGAATTGGGCAAACATCTTGCGAGGAAACTTCAAGGGGGAAAGGAGTGCTTCACAGCTGGCTCAGGTTGTCTTCTAAGTATTACCTAAACTGACTTGTTTATATATATATATGTGTGTGTGTGTGTGTGTGTGTGTGTTTCCTTTAGTATCATGCGGATCCTGCTATTTGTGCATTATATAGAAGCCAATGCACCAGTCTTTTTGTGTACGGCTGAAAGTTTGTAGATTCACTGAAGTTATAAAATTATTATAAGTCATGTTTTGTATGTGTTGCTTGAGGAGCTAGGAATTAATAGACTTCAAATGAAATGTCTATTAAATGAGAAAGTTAATAGATTCACTGAAGTAATTCTGTGTTTCTATGTTAAATTGAATCTGCTTAGGATGCAAAAGGTATGTTTTGGTTGACAACAGCCACCAGCTGTATCCTGCCTGGGAGATCTAGTTGTTTGCTTCACCTAGATATGCTATGTACCGATAATGTGGTAGAAAAAACTTAGGTAGTTTTTGGTTTCAAAAAATAAAGTCATTTTCTGTTTTCATTTTCTTGGAAAATGAAAAACATGAGTGAAAACGTATTTGGTAATTGAAAATGAAAACAAATATTTAGGAAACAAAAATTAAAATGGGTTGAAATATGAAAATAAAAAAAAGATGTTTTCAATTGTGAAAACAAGGGATGTACATTATTTTTTTCCTTGTGTTTTGAAAGTTATCATATTTAAACACTTTTTAATGTCATTAATTAATAAATATGTATAATATTTATAATTAAATGTCATTAGTAGTAATATCATTGAATATTTATTTATTTCCTTATTTTTGCATTTTTGGAATATAATTTTTATTTTTTTTGCCAAATACATTTTTGAGAAAACAAAAAATACAAAATAAAAACTATTTTCTAGAAAATAAAAATAAAAAATAATAAAAAAAAACATTTTCTCAAACCAAACAGAGCCATAATTGCTCTCATTTTCTGTACTGTATGATTTTTCTTCTTTCTTAAGTTCTGTATGATGCTTTTGGATCTTCTTATATTATATATATGTGCATGCTTGCACGTGTGTGATCCTTTTTTTTTTTCCTTTCTTTAAGTGAATATGGAATTGAAAACATATTCTGAACACTGGTGAAAATTGACAGCACTGGTTTTATTTTTGGTGTTTGTGTTTGTATATAACAAACAGTTAGCTTCTTCTTTTGTTTCCCCTTTTACATCATCTAGTTGCTGCTTTAGAATAACAATCCGTTGTCATCTAGTCCGGTGATGATGTCTGGGTTTTGCCCAGTTTTTCCCGGGTTCAAATCCCGGCAACGGAATTTTTTTCAAGTGTGCATTCATTTTTTTTTTTTTGATCAATTCTGTGAATCTTGATTGGATGGCTATAAGTTGTGTCATGCAAATGAAGGCTCCCCACCAGAGTGGTTTTTTCTCTGCTTTTTCTGCAGCTAATTGTGGCAAGTTTGTTCTTATATTTGCAGAGGTGGACTACTATTAAGAAGCGACTTGGCAACTTAAATGTGGAAGGAAACTCAACTATTCACCAACTTTCTGAGGCACAGTTGGCAACTCGAAGCGCTTTGTCCTTAGCCCTTGATATGCCAGATAAAACCTTAACAGCAGCTTGTACAAATAACCCTGGTAATCTTCTGTATCTAATTCTATTTTTAGCTCTTTGAAGTATTTGATGTGGCAACATTCTTTCGAACAAGCAAGCTAAACTTACGAAGTGATGAAATTATGGGAACTTTCTTTTTTCCCTCCAGCTTTCTTCTTTGAAAATGGAAGGCCTATTATTCTCTTTCTAACAGACTAACTTCATGGCTACGGGACCAGGTTTGAAGATCACATCCAGTAACTCTGCACTTCCAACTATTAGTGGTGAAGCTACAGTTCAAGCCCAAAGCCAGTTCCAACAAGGTCCCACTGCTTCAGTCCAAGCCCCAAATCGGTCTCAGCAAGGTCCTATCACTTCTGCCTCATCCCATAATCAGCCTCAAAAAGGTCCAATTCCTTCTGTCCCTGCCCAAAATCCATCTCAGCATGGTCCTGTTGCTTCAGTTCAAGTCCCAAATCAGTCTCAACAATGTCCCATGACTACAAATGCCTCCCCGAGGGGATCATCAAGTTCTACTTTAAAATCTCGGGTCACGTCAAAAAAACCACTGGCAAAATCTTTTTCCGCTACAGGTTCAATCTTAGATGCCACTGCAGTTAAACCTCTCATACCCGGTGGAACCTCTTCCCATTTGGAGGTTCGTTCTAATGTGCAATATGTTTGTACTGGCCAAACTGCTGAACCACTCTCTTCTCCTATTGTTACATCTTCTACCTTGCATCCTGGTTCAGTAAAATCTGCAGCGCAGAGAGTTGAGCACACTCCATCTGCTTCTTCCTCATCATTAAATGTGTCGATTCAGCAGTCTAATGCTGTTACATCTAGTCCAACTACTGAAGGTCCTCCAAAGGAAGAGCTGGAGGCAGCAATAGTGATCAAGAGTTCTGTGTCAGACAGTTTGTCTAAAGAGCAGGTGAAAGAAAATGGAGCATGTGTGTCAAAAAATGAACCAGGTGAGCTAGTTATAGAACATAAAGAAGCTGTGTTAAATCCAGAATATGTGTTGAAGAATCTTGAGGCTGTTGCTGAGTATCCTAATGAGAAATTAATGTCTGAGGGTGATCAAGTAGATGTCAAAGCAAACCTGGTTGAAGAGAGTGAAAATACCGGTGATAAGAAGATTGATTGTTCACTGGTTAAAAAAAGTGACAGTCAACCTACGGCTGAAGAGAGTTGGAGGAATCAGAGCATGATTGAGACACCGGCTGAAGCCTCTTTAAATGATGGATGTACCATGAATCTGGCGGTTTTGAGCACAGCAGAAACTGGCCAAGCTACATAGTGAGACATGGTATCTTGTCTGTAGTAATATATCTATCTATCTATTAATTGAGGTTTTGATCCATCTATTTTAGGAAAATATATTGTAGATTTATCTGGCAAAAGAACCTTGTGAAAAGAAAGAAATTGGATTCAACACTGTAATTCCTTTTATAGTTCTTGTAGAAGGGAACAGCGAAAAGTAGCTTTGATTACACCTTTTTTCGTGACAATAATGTACACACTTTTCTATGTCACTTGCAATTTACAATTCTTTCTATTTTTCTATTATCAACTGCGAAGCCTGAATCATTATCTACTGGACTGATAATATGTACAAGAAAAAAGGCATGCATGTTTTTAAAAAGCAATCGCTTTACTTCAAGAAGCAAGAATTAGTTCAAGCTGATAATTCATAAGTGGGATTCAATTCAAGTCTTTGCTATATTTTGCTTGATTACTTCTCATACAAGAAATATAAGATCTATCTTCTATCTGGTTTTCCTAAGAAAGAAGGGCTTACATCCACAACGATTTGATTCTTATTATGGAGGAAGCACACGAAAATGGTTCTATCATTATATCGTTCCAGCCCGAGTTTTAATCTGCGTTGATCTAAATTCAAGAACAGAGAAGGAAAGAATGAACAGGCAAGGACAAGGGTGTAGATGATGATGAAGTAAATCTTCGGAACATCTGTTACTTCTACATTAATACTAGTATAAGATAACATTAAGGAATCCAAACCGGAATTAATAATCACAATGCTATCTGCAGAAAGTGTTTAACCTACTAGAATTAAAGTGAGAAAAGAAATGAGAAATCTTCCATAACGGTGTCTGTGAAAATTACGAAGGGAGCTGCAAGAGACAGGAGTCTATCCTGAGGGCTCAGACTCAGTAGGTTCTGTAAGGAAACTGTGCTGTCTCTGCAATGTTGGATGCCCGCATGCAAACATTGATGGTCCCTTTGACTGCCTCTTGTTCTTTAACTTGATTCCAAATAAGAAAAATCGCAGAGGAATTCTAGGCCGCCCTGTTCTCGACCCGGATTGTTGAGTCGTCGATGCTGACTCCCCAAGTTCCTTTTCTAAATTCTTCATTACTTCCTCAACTTCCTGCTTGAGTTGTGTCACACGAGCGAAGCCTGCTTTCAATTCATTAGCAACCTTTCTGTTTTCCTGTTTCATGTTGAGAACCTCACCTTGAAACTTTGCAGCCTGATATTCACTGAGCTCTGTCTGTCCTGCGTGGCCACTGGCATTGGTCACTCTTGCTATCTCTTCTTGGATGTTGCACAAGGAAGAATATCTACCTTGCACTTCGTCTGTCAACACTGCATTGTTTTCCAGCCATAATGTTAATTCTGTTTCTATTTCTCTGAAGTGAGAATAAATGGGGCGTGCTTCTGATTTGAGAGATTGCCGCTTTCCACTTCCTTCTTGGTTCTTTTTTTCTCTCAATGTTGACAACTCTGCTTTCAAGTCCTGGACTGAAGTTTGATATTTTTGTATCTGATGAAAACATGTGCTGAACCTCAACCAGAACTCTAGATTTTCCTCCAGCAAGTTATCGATACCTGAACGTATTTTATCTTCTACGGTTAATACAGAAGGGGATTGACTTACAGGTTTTACCTGCATAACATTTTCTCCCATTTTCTTGGGAGGTTCTTTGAATCTTCCATGTGCAGTTGGTTCGACTACTTTTTCGTTGGATTCAACTTTCCCCCGACCTACTGGCGACGTCTGAATGGATTCGGTCAAGGTAGGTTCCTGGCCTGCGCTTCGACAGGGTCCTTCAAGTTCTACCAAGTTCCCATCCTTGGGAGATTCTTTGAGTTCGATTACTTCATTGGATTCAACTTTCCCCTGATCTACTGGCGATGTCTGAATGGATTCGGTCAAGGTAGATTCCTGGCTAGCGCTTAGACGGGGTCCTTCAAGCTCTACCGAGTTCCCATCCTTATTTTCATCTACAAAGCTCATTTTTCGACGTAAAGATTGAATCTCTCCATCTCTGGCGGCGACAGCATTCTTCAGTTCCCTTATCTGCAATGCCAATTCAAAGAAACCGTCGCGGTTTTTCTTATCTACTTCGTTAAGCTTCTTTCTTACCTCCTTATAATTCCAAAGAACAGAAGAGTACTCGTCTAGTAAAATCTTTTCTCGGTCGTCCAGTCCATTCAAGTACAGTTGCCTCCAGTTTGGCTGCTCTTCTTCATCAGTCTCTACTTCCTCAGTGTCAGTGTCAGGGATACTGCTTGCGGTCTCAGACAAATATTTCTTCTCAGCTTTGTCTTCTTCCACCAGTTCCAGACCCTTTTTCGAATCAACATCAAACTTATTGCTTGATTCAGAATCAACATAGCTTTCTCCATCAGCTGAAACATCTTTGTCCTTCCCTTCCAATTTAATTGCTGTGTCTTTTAAGGCTGAACTATCATCAGGAGCCAACTCAATTTTGTGTTCCTCCGTCCCCCTGTCAGCTTTGGCATCCGATCCAGTTTTTACTTCTTGGGAGAGTCCTGCATTCTCAACCTCCTCATCCATCTTCACAGCTTGTAACTTCACGGATAAATGATTAATATTACAAATTGCTTCAGTGAAAGAAATTTTGAGACTGTTATTTTGGTCTATAACCGTTTTTACAAGATCTTTAACTCTACTTAATTCCCCTTCCAACTCATTGATCCTCTTGTTCATGACGTCTGAGCCTTCAATCAGAGCTTCCTTATCTTCTTCCAGGCTTTTAACGTGCGCCTGAAGCTCATCTGCATCTGATTTTAATCTATTAACTAAAGCATTTTCAGAAAAGACTGCAATTTCCAAACTAATAACTCTTTGCACAAGGTCATCAATTTTCTCTGCAAGCTGTGCCATTGTAAGAGATGCATTTGAGTCTACTTCAAGCTGCTCTTTCATCTTCTTTTGCAACACTTCCAAATCTTGTTTCTCTTTTTCCTCATTGTCAATTTCGTAGACCATGTCATCAATCTCCGTAGTTGGACTAACGTACGTATGCTTCTCTTGCTGATTTGTTTGTGGGGAATTAAATTTATTCCTGAGAGCTTCAAACTTCTGATTCACATGCTTAATCCTTCTGGATTCTACTCTTGCCTCTTCAGTTGACTGCTCATGTCTTTCTTTCAACTTATCCAAGGACTCTTGGCATGATTTAAGAGCTCTAGTTGCCATCAGAGTCTGAGCTTCGTTATCATCAATAACGGAGTCAATGCCAAACTCATCCTGTAAATGGCATACTCTCGTTTGCTTTTCAGTTATATGGTTTTCTATCTCACAGAATTTTTTATATCCATGCTCATATGAACTCTTCATATACTCCCTTTCAGTTTGCATCTCTAAAATTTCCTTCAGAAGCTTGTCCATTTCATCTAGTGCCTCATCTTTGCTCAGCCCTGAACTTGGAAATCTTTTCAGTTGTCCCTTTCTTGACAAAAACATAGACTGGCTCCTCAAATCTTTCTTTGGAAATGGGGCTTTTAAGATGCTTTGTTTTGAGACACATGGTTCGTTAGGACTAGGGGAAGAAGTTGATGTTTGGCTAACATTTTCGTCATCTTCTTCATCCATGGCAAATGGAACTTGCTCAGGGAAGACAGAAGCAATGGTGCGATTGGCACTTTGCAGGTCTTTTGATAAGTGATCAAATCTTTCAGCTAACGCTCGGTATGCTCGATAAGATTCTTCAACAATGCTTACAAGTTCTGGTCTCTTCTTGTAATACATTTCTGCCCTCTGCGCAAAGGAGTCTCCATCATCATCAATGATTGTGAGCATATCAGTGACCTTCTCCTCCATATCTGTCATTTTCAAATGTCAATGTTAACCATCACTCCCCTAAAAATGAAAGGCATCCCTTGGCCATTAACCACTAGTATTAAATTATCAATGTTCTTGGAACACCACAAACTATAATTTTGCTGGATGAGAAACTGATCATGGATGTGTTTGAATAGTAGCAAATAATGCTTTCAGCAGTATAATTTTTCTCTAATGCCAATACATAAAAGAAATGGCATCTGTTTGTCCTATATATTTGTATCTGTCTCATTTTCCTTGACTTTTCAACAGTATAATTTCATTTCTCTTTCCTAGAACTAGCTATTTTAGAAGCATTTTTAACCATAAAAATCAGGCTTGTTTTGATATTACGAAATTCAAAGAAAATAAAGAAAATCCATGCAAACATGCAATGGCAAAGAATTGAAAATCATGGGACAGACAGAACCACTTATGAATCATTCAAATAATTAGATTTCTATGTTGATCCCATAAATTAAGCCCATATTGGTAGAATGCTTACCTTGAAGGTTCTGTTCCAGCCATTTTGACTGCTTTGTCCTGATGTGGCTTGCCCACCACCATGAATATGCATTGCTTGCAGCTCTCTGCAACATCCTTTATTTGTCTGTTAATCTGTCTCTCCCTCTATCTGGAAAGAAAAGAAGAAGAGATTCCATCCACAAAGGAGATGGCCTTGATGATCATCAAGAATCAATGCCGGTGAAAATTGCACCAAATGGGGCAGCGATGGAAGGGAGGATTGCTCGCCCGGATTATGTGTTGAATCCTTTGACAGGCTCAAATATAGGAATAGGATGTCCAAATGGCACTATGCCAGTGTCCTTGAATTGCCAGGTTGGGGTTTCCTATTATAAGCAAACCATCTTTTCTCATTTTATCATTCATTTATCATGTTTTTTTCCCTAATGTTCTTCTCTTTGGAGTTTGAAATCACAAACTACAATGTTTTGAAAAAAGGTTAAAACAATTTGAATTTATAATAATTTCTTATACCACTCTCTATGAGAAAAATAGAACTTTTATCCGTTCAAATTTTGTATGGAAAACGAACTCATTTTAAAATAGTTAATATAATATGACAGTAACAACCATAGAAAGATAAGTTACTAACTTGATTGGTTACAGAAACTAAAAAATGTTTCAGAAGTTACTAACAAAAGTAGAAGTGGTCAAAATCTTTGTTTTCCATTTCGTTCTGATCTCGACCAATTGGAAAGGGTGTCTAAAAGACAATAATGATACTTGTTCTTTTTTCCCCGTTTCCAAACAAACGAAAAGCAAATGAATGTTTAAAGGATGAAAATATGTTTTTAGCCCTTCTATTGTTTCATATGACAAACAGATTTTGTTTTCTATAGAAATTTACGATTCTTGATTTTCCTTCTTACCAGAACCATACAGCTTTTTTGGTCTTTTCAAAAGGCCAGAATAACACAGCATTTTTGGTCTTTTCGAAAAGATTACTGAGGGTGCAAAGCTTCTTTCTTTTATTTCACAGTAAGATGTTTTTGGATTTTATTTAATATATTATCTTTTCGAGTTGGTTTAAGCAAATTTATTTTGTCGAAGTTAATAAATTCATAAAAAATTATCTTATCACGTAATCTCAACGGACTAAGAAAAGAGCAGTATTTTGTTTTGATGGAACTGATACGGTTTCTATTCAAACCTTATCAGTACATGTTCTGAAGCCATTTGCTGGCAAACAAAAAAGGATCGTAGAGTAAAACACAATTAACCATGGCTGGTTAACTGTAGGTTAATCTGCTTGAACACTGCAAAAGACTGCTATGTTCACCATTTCATTTTAGCACTTTCCGACTTCTTGCCTTAACCATGACATGGAACAGTAACAAAATCACTTGATCATCTGCTGCTATAGTCATCTATTCTTGTTCGGACAATGAAAAACTGCGACAACCATTACAGTGACTAGTCATCCCACCGTGTTCCAATACGCCAATGGCTTATCTATCGACATCCATATGTTGGGAAAACGAAAGACATCTGTCATTTACACAACACTTGCCATTATTCATATATTATTTACAGTAACAAGACAAGTATAAATCTGCTTCAGTTTTTAGTATGTACAGCCACTTTTACACCAAAGAATTGAATACACACGCACACACACAACTTTCTCCTTTCTTCTAGCCAAGTCTCCCAAGAAATCTACCACACACACACACACAAATGAGCATCAATCTACTTCATCTGGACAGCTTGCAAGCAAGACATACCGTCAGATCCTTCCTCTTAAGGTCTCAAAGGAAACAGAAGAAAAGGACATGTCTAGTCCAATATTCACACCATGTTTGTCCCTTCACTGCAATTTCTGCTGCTCATTAGTTGATACTAGCTCAGATTCTCTAATATTTGTGACAATAATTCAACAAAGCAAGCCATCCACCTCCATTTTTTATCTTTTTAAAATTTTACACTATCTACAATATCTTTATACAATATTTATATCAATGTTAAAACACTAGACCATGTTCTTCCAGCAGATGGGCAACAGAATATCGATTCATATCAATCTTCAACAGTCCAGAATATCAGCTAGTCTGCAGAGATGAGAGCCACTGTTCCACATATTTTTTGCTTTCTGCACATTGAAGAACACGAAGACAAATACAGACTTAGCACAATGCATATGCTTCAGCAAATTCCACGAAGCTTACGGAACACATTAAAAAAATAAGAGAGCCCAGCCTCAATTTTCTGCCATTTAATCTAAGGTAAGCAGCAGTTCAGATAACACCACAAGGCACCCAGTAAAAGATAAAGTGGAAAACAAATTTTCAAGCATTAAAAAGAAGGATGGTTGGAACTCATGATTGTGGTTCAGTAGCAAGGCATAAATGACCATGATTGGAAACCTAAAACACATGGCTTCACAATGTTTGCCTAACAGAAAAAAGTAATCATAACAATGGATTAGTTAACAGAAACTCGATAGACTTCACAATGACCTACATATAACCTAAATAGTAAACATACAGAGGGGTGCAACCAATCTGAGAATCAGTGTAAAAGGGTTGAACAAAGAGCAGTAGTCGGTAAAATTAACAAATTAATGGACAATAGCTCAACAGCAGCTTCCAAGTTGGAACGACCAAACATTTCAGCCTTATAGACCAAAGCAAGATGACATTTATGCAGAGAATCCCTAAAGCTCAAGCCCAGGATTCTTCAATCATAAATAAAAAATGATACCTCAAGCGCTTATCTCAGATTTTAATCATCACATAGATCTTGCTAAGCTTACATAGCATAAAACTTGAAAAACAATCTTTAATAGAGGATTGCTGAAAAGATTTGATGGGTCTCTCTTCCAAATTAAGTGCAATCAGACACCATTTAGCACAGTATGCAGGGAATAGGAAGTTATGAGAGCAACATACCCATCAAAAGAAAGAATAAGTAAAAGATGAGCTAGATTGATTAACATTAAATGTAATAAAAGTTTATTTAGAGGTAAGAGGGCTCATCCACATAAGAATTTCAACTTTTCATAGTTCAATGCGGTATATATTTCACAACTAACTAATATCACTTATCTCCTTCTTTTCAAATCATTATTACAGCATAAAAGTAATAGAAAAATGCTATATAATAAGTTAAATGCCAAAACCTAGATCATTGTTAGCCTGCCCCTACTTTTCCTAATGCAATCTTTGTCAACACCTTGAACAATTCAAGCAATTAAACAGTATTGTGGACAAGCTCAAAAAACCAAAGAAGTTCATCTAGGTTCATAGTGTTGAACATGCTTTGAATTCACAAAACCGGGAGCTAAAAATAGTGTTAGCAACTGGTCAATGACCTGCCAAGTGCCGTGCTACATCTTAGACTTTTCCTAGTCATAAATAATACACTAAATAGCATTTCAAAGGCTCAGGAATGAGAAATAACCCTACAAGGAGTTTCCATAGTTCAACTCGAGGTTGTTTCCTATGAAATATGACATCAAAAACTTGAAATCTAAACCTCAGCATTGACTTGCTAAGCAACAAAGAAGACAAATTGAAAATTAAAAAATATTCTTAACATTAGCTATGGGTAAGAAATGGTTCTTACCAGCAGAATAATTGTCAGGTATATTCACAATGGCACCCACAATGTTGTTCTTTGAATCCAACACTATATTATCCTGGCTGTGCCCATAACATGGAACCAGCACAGCAAAACTGTTATCTGAATCATCATCACTCTGGAATCCAGGTCCATGAGGCTCCAACCATCCAATGGAGTAATCAGAACCATCAGACTCAGACCCTGAAACACACCCTCCATCAGATGGCACAAGAACTACATCATATTCCCTATCAATCTTTCTTTCCTCCCGGCTATGCCATTTCCTCTTAACCCTTCTCAATGAAGAAGCCATATTAGCCCTCTTAATCAGTGGAAACTTCAGATTATCCGTGTCCCATAAACCTGAATCAGGTGAAGAACTTAAAGACGATCCATTAGCAATTCTAGGCTCTTGATGTTTCCCACTCCATAACCACCATGAAAGATGAGCAAAGGCCGCAGCCATATGCATAATCAACCAAAGAAAGCTGTTGTTCCAATCTTTCGGCACCAAAAAATTTGTAATATGAAACACAAATAGAGCTAATATCCAACCCCCAGCAGAATCCAAATCAGTAGATAAGCAATTTAATCTGCACTGTCTGCATTTAAAACAAATCACATACTTAACAAATTGCATTCAACCCATAATTCATTGAAGCAATTAGATGCAGCAAAAACCAACCCATTAAATTAAACTTTTTGAACCTTATATTTTCTTTGGCTTCATCCCCCAATATCAATTTTGTGCTAAACAAAAAGAATAAAAGTTTTCTTTTTCTTTCGGAGGCAACAAAAATACAGTCTTGATAACATTTACTATCAATACAATGAATTTAGACATAAACCAGAAGAAATAAAAGATCATAAGTGATTAAACCGGTCCCACCAAATCAAACAAAATATCCAAACATAGAGAAAAAAAAGGAAAAGAACAGACCCTTTTTTTCTGCTAAAAATAGATTTCTCAAATTTTATTTCAAAAAAACCATAAAACTGACAACCGTTTTCCATTTTTTTCAAATTTCATTTACATTTTCTCAATCAATTACAAACTGAATTCAAAGGAATCTCGAAATAAACCATTTAACGACCCCAAAAAAGGTAGAGACTTTGAAGTTAAAGCTTCCTTTTTGATAGATGCCAAACAAAGAAGAGAAAAAACCCAAAATCCCTTCCTTGTGTTTCAATGTTCGAATATAAAGACGAAGATTCATTGGAAACTTTAAAGAACAAAACTCAACAAACAAAGTACCTTAAAAGCTTTCCAAGGAAAAAGAAAAACAATCCAGATTTTCAGATATTCTGCAGAATAATCAAACAAAACGGTGACGGAATCGAAATCCCACAATTTTTTTTTCCCTCCGTTCACTTCACTTCCAAGAATCAGTTTTGTTTTAAAGATTCCCACGGGGAAAGAGTTCTATACGGATTCAACCAAGATGAAAATAATAGTATAATTACAATTATTTATTAGGGATTTTATTCCCTGCAGTCAGAAGAGGGGAAGTTTTTGACCGGCTCGCAAAAAAAGTGCATGTTTGGGAATTTTTGATGGATATGAACTAAGATGAGAGGTGGAATTCGTTGTTTGAAGTGAGATTGGGTGTAGAGAATTAACTATATTTGGGGTGGAATTTGACTACCAGGTCAGAAATGAGGTGCCGTGGAAAGGGTGACGTGGCGGTGGACTTGACGAGAAAAGAAACGTGTGACGGTTGTTCAAGTAACCCATGCCCACTTCCTGGGAAATTCCAACCTCTTTTTGCCCTGTGGGCTTTGCCTTCTGTTTTAATGGCTCCTATTTCTTTTATTATTATTATTATTATTTTATACTCTCCGAGGTTTTTAAATTTTACTAGTGGAATTAATTAAAAATTAACTATTTTATTGTATTAAATTCAATTTTTTAAACATAATTTAATGTATTAGGTAATATTTCTATTGTTGAATTGTTACAATAAGTAAATAATTTTATTTAAATCATTTAAAATTATATTCATAAAAAAATATTATTGATAAAAATTTTAAATTTCACAAATAAAATTAAAAGTTAACATGCTTTTATTTATTATTAATAAAATTTTTATATTCATAAATATATTTTACTATGACCTATGTCATCATTTAACTATTTTGAAAAAGTCTAAAATTTCATGTCCTGAGATAATTTTTCTGATTAAATTACTGTTTAAAAATAATTTTTTATTTACTATATTATTTTCATTAAAATTAAGAAACCATCTATTAATTATAATTTTATTTTCTATAAATTTAATCTTAGCTAGTACCAGCATACACTCTCTCAAATATTTTTCTTTATAAAAATTAAATGTTCATAAAAATTACTCATGTAATTAAAAATAATGAAAAAAAAATTCTATTGCCAAACAAAATAATGAGCAACACTACTTTTTTTTCTAGCCACCTTTTCCAAGTTTGGAATTTTTAAATATTTTAATTAATTTATCATAGATTAAATTAGTAATTTAGATTTTTATTGGCTCAACGTAACATTCATGTGTCACGAGCATTCATTGGTCTTAAGCTTAACATTCTGTGTTACATGCATATTTACTTCTTTCATCCTCATCTTCAATTTTAGCCATGGCTAATTATTTCTATGGACAGATAATATATTATAATTTGAGTTCAAATTTTTTATAATTGTGTTTTGGCAAGGTTTACATTAATATTTAATATGAATAAATTCAGTAAACTTAAAAATGTCAATAAAATATAAATAATTAGAATTTTGAATCACTTAAATGTAGTGATTTGTTTTAAAAGTTTGACAATTAAGTCCTAAATTCTAATTATACACTCATTTCAATAATTTATTTTAAATTTTGATGCTGAAAATTATATTGAAAAACAATACCTATAATGAAAAAAAATCTTAGGTCTTTTTAGTTTCATCTTCCAAAATTGATACTTATATTTTTGTTTTAGGATCATCCATGCAATAATTTTATATTTAAAATTATTAAAAATTAAATTTTAATTATTAAAATTAAATTTTAATATTCTATCATTAAAATCCGTACAATTCCTAATCAAGAAAGTCTTTGGACGTTGCCTGCTTAACCTCTCTAAATAAAAATATTCATTGAGATAATCATGCACTGTTTGTACACAATGATTAGCCGATAAAACAAGAAATTCCACAAACAATTCTATAAAAAAAACTATAAAATAATAATAATAATAATAATAATAAAACACCACTTTTAGTATTAGATCATTTGAGGCTGATCCTTATTCCCCACTTTCCCTCATCCATAGAAACCCAAAGATAAGGACAATGTCATAGAACAACATGTTTGGTAGGCTCTCATTCTTCCACCAAAAACAGAAATTGATCCACAAAATAATTTTTACCTCAAAATCTAAAAAAAAAAAAAAAAAAAATCCCCATCGAATATATTTAAATCAGCTTTCTTGTTTCAATCATTTATGAGAGTGACGACATATCCCACATCAACCAACCAATATATAATTTTTAAAAAAAAATTTCCCTTGATTTTTTCATATCAACTTTAGCATATCGATAGCATAAATGTTGGCCGTATAAAATAAGATTAAAAAAATCTATGGGTTTGGAAAAGAAATGTGACCCATACCAAATTTAACACAATTATTGCAGGAAATTTGGTTTGTCAGTTTCTAAGTTCACTTTTTGTCAACCTCATGATTAATTTATATAATTATTTTTTAAAAAATTAAAAAATTTTAATTTTAATATTTATAATTTTTTTTTATAAAAAATTGTTTTTTTTTTTTAAACCCAACCAAAAGTTAATACTTGTAAAATATGGTGGGATATTTTGAAGGAAGCTTTAGACTTGGGAAAACCCAAAGAGGAAGGAACTTTGTGAGAGAAATTAAATGTATCTGAAGATGTTTATCTAAACTTGATGGCTTAGGCTTCAACCTTATCCCAAATTAAGGACTCAATTTTTTTGATATGTAGCTTTTGTAATTTTTCACTTAAATATTCCCTACACGTTTTGCATTTTGGCTTCATTCTCTTAATCTATTAGTCTATTGCTTTTAAGGGTTTCGAGGAATATATAATTATATATTATTAATCATATCATCTGGCTCTTCGTTTGTTTTTTCCAAAAATAAATTGAGTTGTCCTACTTAACAATGGTTCAAGTTCTCAACAACCATACACAAGTTCATATTTTTATTTTATTGAGGTTAATATATCCTTATTGAAGGCTCAATCTTTATTATTAATTTTTTTTTATAAAGGATGTGATAATGTGAGATGACTGAAAGAATTTCAAGTATTAATATTTAAAATTTAAATTTATTGACATTATTTTATAAAAGTGATTGTATGAATCATGATTTATTGAATTAAATTTGGAGTTTAATCATCAAATTTTTTAAAATTATTAATTTACTTTTAAACTCTTTTAATTTATTATTTACTTAATTAAAAAAATATTATGAGTATAAATTTTAAATCTATAATATTCAAGTATCAACTGATTTACATTATATATAAATATTCGTTCAACACGCCCATTAACCCTAAAAGTAATCATGTTAATACTAAGTCCACTGGACTTCTGAATTAGTTTAAACATGTCCAATTTATTACATCTTCCTTTAACAAATCCAATAAAAAGAATATGAAAATTTTTATTTTCCCAAGTTTTTAAGCCTATCAGCTCAAAAGGAGACCTGACGTCCCAAACCCAAACCAAGCCCATTATACTTTGAGCTCACAGGGTTGACAGCATTGGGAAAAGAACACCAAAAACCCTGCTTAATGAGGTAATCCAGGGCACTAAAATTTCTCATAATGAGGTCCTTGATTTTTTCTTCTTGGCCGAACCCATTTTTCTCCTGCCTATCAACCTTCGTCTCCGACCGATCCGTGCCGGACCCAAGACCCATATTCCCATTGCTGCATAGAGTCAAGCCAAGGTTCGAGCCATTGTGGTGCACCATGAGCCAGTCATCTGAAACCGAGCATAAACCAAAGGAGACAAAGCTGTGGGGTGGGAGATTCGAAGAGAGTGTGACGGAGATCGTAGAGAAGTTCACCGAGTCTATCTCGTTTGATAAACAGTTGTACAAGCATGACATTATGGGAAGTAAAGCCCATGCTTCTATGCTCGCTAAACAGGTTCATGTTTATTTTTTTTCGGTCTTCCAGTTATTGTTTGCATTGTGTTATTGGGGAGCTCATCGGGTTTCAATATGTGGATAATTTTATACTCTGAAAAAATGCAAAAGCAATCCTAACAATTTATATGTACTGTTTTGCTAATTCAAATGCATGTGATTTTTCTTATTTTTGTTTGTAGGGTTTGATTAGTGTAAGTGATAAGGATAGTATTTTGCAAGGTCTGAATGAAATAGAGAGACGCATTGAAGCTGGTGAATTTGTGTGGAGAACTGATAGGGAGGATGTCCACATGAACATTGAAGCTGCATTAATAGATATGGTTGGTGAGCCTGCAAAGAAGCTCCACACTGCTCGAAGCCGAAATGATCAAGTTCTGACTGATTTTCGCCTGTGGTGCCGTGATGCTATAGACAGGATTATTGCTAGCATTAGACATCTCCAGGTTGCTTTGGTGGAATTGGCTCGAAATAATGAGGGTTTGATCATTCCTGGATATACACATTTACAAAGGGCGCAACCTGTTTTACTACAACATCTTCTTTTAGCATATGTGGAGCAGGTTTGAATCATTTCATTTATACACTATTCTAGATGAAATTGAACATCTATATATCTATTTGGAGAAATAAAGTGGTTGTTTTATTGGTTGATTGGAAAATTTTTATATTGCTATAACTTAGAAGTTTATCTAATTAAACATTTATAAGAGAAAAAGGACTAAAGCTTGAAAGCAAAACACATTGATGGTAGGCAGCTTGGCCCTCGAAGAGTAAATAAAAGGAGGAAATATTGGAACCTGGGTAAACCTACAGAATGTAATTATAAATGGTTAGTGGATATGATCAAGTCAATGGAATATTAGAAGTCTTTGAATATTGGAATCCACATGATAAGATGTGCTCATCAACTTCTAAACAAATCAATTATGGTTTTATCACTGGGAAGACCAGGCCTTTTCCATAAAGGAAAGAACATAGTATTTCTTATATATAATAATTGCAGATAGTAAATTCAAATTTCTATACATTTACATTTTGATGTCTTAGCTTGCAAAAGGAACAAATTATCTTGTTGGGCTTACAAAACTGTCTTGTATCTTTTATTGTAGCTTGATCGTGATGCTGGTCGCTTACTAGATTGCAGAGCTAGATTGAATTTCTGTCCTCTAGGTGCATGTGCACTAGCTGGTACTGGCTTACCAATTGATAGGTTTATGACTTCTGATGCTTTGGGATTCACAGCTCCCATGAGGAACAGGTATGTGCCGATTCAGTCATCAAATTTCAGTTTCTGGAATGTCACACATGACCATTGTATGAGTTGTCTCTGTTAATGTCTTGTAGCATGAATGGTTGTTACCCTTTCCATAGGATTTTGTCAAACCTAGATCTCCATCTTAATTATAATGTTTCATTAGATCTTGATATCTGGCTTTCCTTTAACATAATTGCATTTCACTATTTTAAACAGTATTGATGCAGTTTCAGATCGAGATTTTGTCCTAGAGTTTCTTTCTGCTAATTCCATCATAGCGGTTCATCTTTCTCGGCTTGGTGAAGAATGGGTATTGTGGGCTTCAGAGGAGTTTGGATTCATCACACCAAGTGACTCTGTTTCCACTGGAAGTAGCATAATGCCTCAAAAGAAAAATCCAGATCCAATGGAACTTGTTCGAGGAAAGTCTGCTAGAGTGATTGGAGACCTGGTTACTGTTCTCACATTGTGCAAAGGACTTCCTCTTGCTTATAATCGTGATTTGCAGGTAGAAACTAATTTTATTCACTTAATGGTGTGGTTATTTCAGTATATCCATTTCATGGACTCCATTGACACTTCCATTGATGTTATGGTTTATGTTGGTGTTTAATTTGATCTTTTATGGGTACTGACAGCTGTTTGAGCCTATATATTTGACCTTTTTTTTTTTTTGTATTCCTTTATATCTTTGGATTACTTACAGAGGCATTCTCTTTTCTTTTCTTTTCTGTTCTTTTACCCGTTGAAATAGGAAGATAAGGAACCTATGTTTGATAGCGTCAAGACCATTATAGGCATGCTTGAAGTGTCAGCAGAGTTTGCTTACAATATTACCTTCAATGAGAAAAGAATACAAAAGGCATTACCAGCAGGCTATCTTGATGCAACAACACTTGCTGATTATCTAGTTAAAAAGGTGAGTTATTTCGTATTTGTTGATTTTTGTTTTCTGTAAAGATTGTGTCCCAGTTACTTAATACAACTGCTCTTATTTCTGTTTCTTTTCTTTTTCTCTTTGTGCTTCTCTTTCGTTTTGAAAATAATAAAATCCCTGACCCCTTTTTTTTCTCTCTTCAGGGGATTCCTTTTAGAACTTCTCATGATATAGTTGGACGGTCAGTTGCATTATGCCTTTCGAAGAACTGCCAGCTTCAGGGCCTTAGTCTAGAGGATATGAGAAGCCTAGATCCTGTATTTGATAATGATGTGTATGAGTTTCTTGGGGTAGAAAACGCTATCAAGAAATTCAGTTCATATGGTTCCACAGGTTTAGCATGTGTTGCTGATCAACTTGACTACTGGGTAACCAAGCTTGAAATCAACAGAACAACAGGATGAAGACCTCATTGATATAAGAGCTAGAGATGAGTTATTATAGCTTGACTGCTTTGCTATAATCTGATGCTCATGGTTTTGAATTTGGATTTTGGAGATATGATGCTATTGGCATAAAGAAAATGAAACTTCAAAGGAAAATGCCATTAGTGATTGAAATCTCAATCAAATGACTTTTATTTAAGATTTACTATTTTGAGCAGATATTAGATCAATATTACGGATCAAGTGTTGAATTTCATACTGTTATTTTCAACCTATCAGAGCTTCAATATCTGAATTTCTGTAGTAAATTGTTTTAAAGTCGATATTTAGACTAATTTTTGTGCAAAGAAAATTGCACTGCTTTATTTATGGAAACAAGAAAGCTTGATATGATTGTAGTCATTAATGAGTTTCTTTTTTTCCATGATTTGAAGATTGTTTCCTGCATTTAGATCCTTCCACTAGGGAAAATTTGCGGAGAATTTTTGTTCACTAGTTCATATATGCATATAGTTGAAGAGACAATAATGATTAATAGTTAAGTTAGGGGAAAAAATCAATACAGAAAAATTATATGAAGTGAAAAAAAGAACAAAAGGCTTATGGAGAATATGAATAGGAGATTGTTTACAATCCTTTTTTTTTTCTTTTACAGTAGTTTGTAGGAATATCTCAAAATTCCATGCGAATGCTATTGTTTCCTGACCAGAATGCTTCGAGCAAGAACTCATGTTTCTGCCAATCTACAGAGTACTTGAAAAACTAGACTGGCTATCCTGAATTTTTGTTTGTTTTTCTTGTTCCTCTTGTACCTTCCAGCAGAGATAAGGGCGGATTCATAGTATCAGGCTGAACAACAGCTTTTTGCGCTTTCTTTCTAGGGCCAATGTTTCCAGTAATTGATTTGATCTGTAAGAATTCAACTATGCATTAGCAAGCAGAGGAAAAATTGGTATACCCAAATCATAAGGCTCCTGCAAGTTGCTACAAAAACATTGGATAACCAATGCTTTTGTTTTTATGGATGGTTATGGAAGTAAGATTTAAATTTGGGCCCTCTTTGGAGGAAATTGCTACAGGGAAAGCATATTAGACCAAGCATGAGTGTCAAAGAACCAAAAAGAATTTTAATTTTCCAGGTTACTAATCCAAAAGCACATTAATCCAAGTATGAGTAGAAAGAACGAAAATGAATGTTTCATTTCCAGGTTAGTTTTTTTTAATTCAATTTCCAGATTACTTAACCCACGGTGCCCTAGAAATATTAAATACGATCTTAATCTAGGGAAGAAATAGGCCACACACCTAATGCTAGAAAAAAAAAAGAAAAAAATCTAAATGTGAACATGAAGCAGACATTCAAATGCATAAAAAGGGAAGACCAGAAGAAAGGTGCGGCAGTAAAGTGTACCATTGTGTTCCCAATCTCACGTAATGGCTGCTTTCTAGTTTCACAATCTTCATTTATCTCAGGAAGCTTTTCAACAACTTTATTTTGAAGCAGCATTGCATCTTGAACTGTGCCCTTCTCTTCTTCAATATTGCATGGCACAATGTCTTTTGTCATCTCTGGTTGTGGCATGTCATCCAATTTGAAGGGAACTTTCTCTCTGTTTGTGCACTTGGCTATTGCACAGCCACAAGATATCCCACAGCTGCTCCCAGCTGCTCGGCATCCACATTTCAGGGTCTTACACAAAGACTTTTTAGAACAAGAGCAGCACACTCCTGAAGGTCTCTCTATCATAGCAATAACTCCTTCAGAATGCTCAGATTCTGATGTATCCATGTCTGATGAATGAATATTACTCCCAATGGAAACAGAAGTCTGAACCAAGTCTACCTGATAAAGAAATGTCATAACTGAACAAATTAGATGTTATAAATTTAGAACCTTATTTCCCTTTTAATCTTGACCTATAGATGGTTAAATATCAATTTTTGTTTTCCTACTTCCACTTGCAATGAATGTTCAACTTATCTCTGAATCCATGTTAGAAATTATTATTTAGAATCAAAAGTATTAGCTACAGGAAACTGCACTAACTTGTGACCTCTCTGTTTGAATGAGTGGTGCCTTTGACATATTCATTTGGCTAACCATACAACTTAGTTTATCAACTTCTTCTCTTAGATCTATTAACTCTGAATCATTTATGACAGCTTCATTATCCTGTGACCTGCAACTTGAAAGAGTAGGCAAGAACAGGTTTAATAATCATTGCAGTACTAGTAACAAAAGAACAAAGCAACCCTTGTTCCGGGTAGGAAAGTTAGAGATGGATTCTACCCGGCTTGTTCCTCCCTCAGCATCTCCACTTCTAGCTTGAGTTTCTTAATCTCATCAACCATCCTAGTAAAAAATGTACACTTAAATCAATTTTAGGTATAAACAATTAATGCCAGCAGAGCATGATCCCACCTCCTTAATCCCATCGAGTTGGAAAGAAATTAGGCCTCAAGAAAGTACAACATAATGTATCAAAGTAATAGACAGATTAACTAGCTTTATGTTAAAGAAGAAAAAGATGGGGAATCAAAGTATATGTAGTGGGGGTAGAAATAAAAGCTCATTCAAACTAAGGACTATAAGGGAATTATTGTTAAAATAACCTATGGAACTCACTTTTCAATTCGATGTTCATATTTAGAACATGCTTCATCAAGCTTCATTTTGACTTCAAAATCATGCTCAATACCCTGCACCAGTGCCATTTCAGAAGCACTATCGTTACAATCATCAAACAACTGCCCCTGCCCTTCGAGGTCCATTGACACACACAATTAAAAAGAACAAAGCAAGGAAAAGAGTGAAAAGGAAAAGGAAAAACACTGAAATCAACTTCCACAAACAGTATAAACTTGTGTGAAAACTGCCTCCATTTTTCAATTTAAGAAGTAAAAGTATATGCATGATATCATGATGAATCCATTTAACCCCCAAAGTACATAAACAAATAATCCCTTTTCAATTCTAATTCCAATTACAATTAAAGTACATGTACTATTAAAAAGAATTAATTTAACCTAGATAAGTAACACATACCTGAGTTCCAATTTTGCTGCCATTTCTAGCACCTACTTAAAATTTAAGCAAAAGAAAAGTCAATAAATCATAATCAAATAAAAAAAAAAATTCATGAGGACTTCTTATTTCTAACCAGCTATTTTGCCAGATGAAGTCTTTCTGGATTCTATTAGCTCTTTTAGACGTTTTACCATCAGAAAAGCTTCTTCTGTTTTCCGCTGCAAAACCTGAGATAAAGCATAAAAGAAAGAAAAACATATCTTCACAACTTAATTACCAGATTGAAGTCAACAGAAAAATGAAATACAGTGTCTTAAAAAGAAGACTGACATACATGCTTTTGCCTCTGATTGAGAGTTGAGAGCACTTGCTTCTCGTAGTTGTTCCTTCTTTGCTCTTTCTTAAGCTGTTAAAGAGGAAAAAGGACTATTAAGATAAGATGAGTGCCCTCACACCCAGAAATTGCCATCTCACAGTGTGTCCTCTTGAAATAACAACTGGGGCAAAAACAGCATAAATTTTAACTAAAGATGGAAAAAAGAGAACTATGTGAGCAATCATAGGCGGTTTCAAGATACTGCCCTACATGTAATATTCAGCTTATATACAAAACAACATAATTTACCGACATAGGCACATTAAACTATTTTGTTTTCCTTTTTTTATTGCCTCAAGCAGAACATGATCATACTGTCGTATTATTCAATATCTCACACTTTCAAGAGTTAATAAAAGACCTATTTAGCATTCAGATTAGTCAAAGATTATTAAATGTAAATCAGGTTAAAAAGAAAAGCCTAATTAAGTAGTGCCAATGTATTAAAGATGTGAATCACAAAACTCAAACACACAAGGTCACTCTTAATTAGATATTTATGATAAGGCAGAAATATTAGAAAGATCCAGCATTGTCATATATAAAAATGAAAAGATAATAAATTTAAGACCTGAACGTATAATTATTGTATTTCCTAGGATTTACAATGACAAATGTGAGCAGCATTTAAGCATGGCTAATATGAGATAAACCTATGTACCTGAAGAATTTCCTTTTCCAGTGAAGCCTTACATAACCTGAATTGCATAGATTCAAGCTTCATCTTGCATTGGAGCTGAACCTAAATAAAGAAAGCTTCCATCAATAATAATAGCAATAAAATGAATATCATAGTTGTACATAGATGTTCATCTAAAGAAAATACTCACCTTTTGAACCTTTAATCTCTGAATCTCATCCTGAAACTGTTTTGACGTTTCATCAGATTTAAGTTTTTGTGCAGAGAGTTGAGACTGTATTCCTAGTTTCTTTGACTCCACAACCTGAGAAAGCTTAATAAATGGCTTACAATTGAACCATAAGAGTTTCTAACGCTCAACATTGATGCAAATCAAATACCTGTCCTGCAAAGGTCTTTGAATTTTGAGGATAAACTTGATTCAGTTTTTGAACACCAACACAGGAAATGGGTGTAACATCACCGAATTTGCTCCTTAGTTCCTCAATCTCCCTCTGCCACTCCACAAGAAAGATATTAATACCTCCTATTTACTTGTTGAGAAGCTAATTCAAGAAGAGTACTAAAAGAAATGAGCTAAGCTTGTTTTTTCCGAAGTTTTATACAGAAATACGTTTATTGAAAGTTGAAGACATAAAATTGAATCCTACATTTGACGCGTAGTCTCACTAAGATTTTATTTGCATCCTCAAGCACTATAAATGGATAATCGAAAGGATTCAAGCACGATTCTAACACTCACTTTCTTGCATTTCCTCCTAAATCAAATAGACTCCCAGTTATTTAAACTCTAACCGGATTCCCAGACCCAATGCCACAAAAATTTTACTGAATTTTCTCAGCAACCAAACGGATTCCACTAGATTAGTAAAAAATCGAAGAGAATAACAGCTTTTTTAATTCAAAAACTAATAGTATAACCAAATCCAACTGTAATTGGATATATTACATTTCTGCATTTTCTCAGCAACCAAACAGATTCACTAAAACATTGAGGTTGAACTTATAAGAAAAATTAGCACAAAAACCAAAACAGAAATTCGAAGTATGGAATCACCTTAAGAGCTTCGTTTTCTAGCTCCAAATCTCGGATTCTTTTGTTTTCCTTATCGCTGGATACAATCGACGGCGAAGAAGAAGAATCGGATCCGCTCTTTTGCTTTGAACGACGATTTGGCTTCTTCATTTTTTCTGCAAAGTGAAAATCGAATCAACGATGATTCATTAGACAACCATCGAAAATGAAAATTCTAGTAAAACAATCGATCGATCAAATTAAATTTCAAAAAAAAAAAATTAAAAGCCCCAATACGATACCAGATCTCTGCCGCTGTATCACTTAACTTCTTCAGCTTAGCGTTTGGAGAAAGGAGCGCAATTCTTTGCGACACGCAAATTTGAATTTCGTCCTTGGGAAAATAATCTCGCTTAAGGTTATATTTATAGCATTCTTATGCCACGTCAGTATTTTTAACTAAATTTAAATCGGGATTTTCTTTTAATTAATTTTTTAATAGTATTTGAGTACTTTTGTGAAGTAGATTGTTAAAATAAAAGCTGGACATTAAAATTTATAATTGGATTAAAAAACTCTTTACTATCATTCTTACTTCCCATTTTAAAATAGATCATGTTTGATATATAAATTATTAATAAAATAAAATAATTATTATTTTATATCATATTTGATTAATATATAAGAAAAAAAATAAAAATTATAAAGATGATTAATATATTATTGATATAGGATTATTCAATTTTTTTGAAGTAAAAATAATTATTTTTAATTTATAAGATTAAATTAATATGTCTAATTATACATTTAAAAATTATATTAATAATTTAAATTATATAAATTTTGAGGAAGAATAATTTTGATAAATAAATAAATTATTCTATCATAATCTTTTCATATATCAAATATAAAATATGATGATATTATTTAATCTAATCATATTTATAATATTATTTTATTATATTTTATCATAATCTTATGTGCCAACCATGATCATAGGTCATATTTGATGTATAAGATTATTGATTGGACACAATTATAATCATTTTATATCATATTTAATTTGTATCTAAAGAGAATTATAAGAATTATAAAGAAGATTAATATCCTCTTAATATAAGATTATTCAATCATTTTCAATTAGAGATAATTATTTTTAATCCATGAAATTAAACTTACATATCCAATTACATCGTTAAAATTTATATCAATAATTTAAATTATATAAATTTAAAAAAAGATAACTTTGATAAATAAATAAATTATCCTATCTTAATTCGTGCATACATTAAACATAAAATATGATGATATTATTTAATTCAATCATATTCATAATATTATCTTATCATAATATTATATATCAAATATAATCATAATTTATTTTAATTCACAAATAATAAAAGCAAATATGATTCAAAATTGTATAAACAATAAAAGCTCTAGCTTGTGAAAGCTTAGAAAACTAGTCATTTTTACACTTCTGCTTATATGGGTAAAAAGGAAATGGTAAGAAAATAAATTACATAAAATATCTTGAAGTGATATATATGTACTTTTTTACTTTTTCTCTTAATTGTTTGAATTTAAGCGAAGGAGCAAAATAAATTATAATGAAATTATGATAAATCATTTTTTATGTATATTTAAATTTAACACATTACAAGTATTTTTTTAATTTTTAATTTACTTAATTCAGACATCTAAATTCACTCAAATCTATAATCTTTAAAAATCTAGCCAATATGCGTATAATATAATCTAATTAATACTCAGTTGACATGTAGTATAAGTATTTAATATTTGTGACATTACAAAAACTACACATTAATTATCTAAAAAATTTACTTGCGTTTAACAAGCTTCAAAAAGTTTCGCAAACCAAATTTAATGATTTCTCCTTTTTGGGAAAACAACACCAGTCTGCCTGATCTCAAAGAATAACTATACTCCTCAGTGGTGGAGTAAAACAGGACACAGCCTAATTAACTACCTCTGTCTTCAAGTGTCAAACAACATCAAGTCATCATCATCACTTTCAAAGGATTCCAACTTCTCATTCTGAATCCTTTCTTGTACAGAACCAAAATGATTAAGCAAAAATAAATAAATAAATAAAGCATTTTCATGGAAATGGCATACATCATAAATCACAAAGCTGGTTAGTGACAGTGCGGTGGTGGGGCATTTTATCGATGAATGGTTAAGGAACATAATCTCCCAAGTTAACGACGGCAGTTCTCTTTCTCTTCTGATGTTCTTGTTGGCCTAAGAGGACTGCTAGGAGCAAGGACAGCTGGTTCCTTGTTGGTTGATTCATCCTGTCGATCTTCATTTCTTTCTCTCAGCAACTTGTTGCCATTTGATGAAGCTGATCGCATTGCTCTTGGTAACTTCAAAGGGATATCTGAGTCGCTTAGGCAGTTATCTGGTTTTTTGAGAGGATCAACATTTTCCGGATTTTGGGGTGCTGCAGTATTCTCTGGTTGTGAAGCTGGTGGAGCGACAGGAACCAGCTGAATCACTGATTTTCCCCATTTCTTTCTCTGATTAGGCTTTGATGCATTGGGTTTAGCCTGTCAAAAGAATAATAAGTAAACTTAGCATAAGCTTAAAAAGGTGAAAAAAAAGAGGATTGTGCTAAACCAGGCAATCTTTTCATCATGTAAGACCAGAAATGATACCAATGTGTTTCCAATGTCTGTGAGTGCTTTTCTCCTTGTAGCACAATCCTCATTTGTTTCAGCTGTCTTTTCACTCTCCAACGCATTCTGGAGAAGCATTGCACCATGAGCAACAAGGTTCTTCTCTTCATTAGTGCCAACATCATTTGGCAAGTTGGCTTCTACTTCTCTATTGGAACATTTGACCAAAGAACAACCACACGACTGTCCGCAAGAATTTCCATTTGCTCTACATTGGCACTTCGGTGTCTTGCAATAAGACTTCTTACTGCAAGTGCAGCATAACCCATCGATTTTCCCTGTAACCTCAGCACTACATCCCTTAATGTTTTCCACGTCATTGCCTTCTGATTGATGAATTCCCAAACTTGAAGCTCTAGATCTAGAAGCTCTTCTCCTTGTTGGCTTTTTTTCTGACTGCACCCAGTCATCATCATCATCACTTGCATCCATATCTGAATGTTCTGACTCAGATGTATCCATGTCCTCCACAAAGATTATTGAGCTTCGCTGTTCCTATAATAATATTTTTAGGTCAGGAAGTAATTATTTAAAACCATTCTACTTTAACTAACAAACTAAATGCAATAGAAAACAACAGAGGGGAGTGGCACCTACCTGCTTCCGCAACTCATACATATGCCTTCCGTCATTTAAGCCAGGGATGCCAGAATCCATGGTTTCTTTTATGGAGTGCTTAACGGTTACATTCTGTTACAAGGTTCACACATAGCAAATGAGAATCAAGATTCCAAGCTCAACAGACATCAAAGGAGAATATTGAAGAGCGAACTGGTAATGAGCAGCAGACATGTATAGTGATAGCTTACCTTGAAGTTAGATTGAACGCCAATAAAAAATGAACTAACCTTTATTTTCACTTGATGAACAAGATCTGCCTTTTGCATCTCAAGTTGTCTAGCCAAACTACTAAGTTTCACCACCTTTTCCTTTAGATTTCTTATTTCCTCATCCTTTTCTCTGCAATGAACTTCTTTATCTCGCAATGAGCACCTTGAAAGAAGGGACAGCAAGTTATTAATTGAAGCAAATAGAAAGCAAGATCCATGATGTTAACAACCATGATAACAAGAGCAAAAAGTTGCAGCAAATCAAGTAGTAAAAAATGGAAATGGAAGAGTAGCATGCAGTTTTTCTATTTGGAAAGATGCATTACCTTGAGGATGATGCTAAATTGAACAGATAATTCATAATATTTTTGGCATCAGCCAGAGACCGAACATGGTTCCAACGTCCTCTTCCACTAAAAATGCGTTCACGTTCTTCAGCTTCAGACAGTTGTGAGGCCATAGCGACCAGAGTACTAGAAGTAGCAGCAAGCATGTTTTCTAGGGCAAAAATCCTTGAGTTTCGTGCACCAGGAGACATTGTCCCTGGATAATCTCTGCATTTGGTAGCATTAAAGGAAAAGTATTTGATCACTGGTTTACATATTAATAGGAAAAAAAGGAAAAATGGATTCAAATAATGAAGAGCATACACAAAAAGCCAAGGTTTTAACCTTAAGTCACCGTGCTTAAGAATCTCAGCTTCTTCCTTCAGTCTTGCAACTTCCTTGGCCATCTTGGCCCTCCTATAGGACAAACAGAACATTTATTTTAATTGATTCAACAACATTACCAAGAGCACCATAAGATGGCTTCCACTTCCTAGTTGGAAACTTATGTAATAGAAATGAATAGATATTGAACCCAAATGTCTTTGTGTAAACAAACTTTCTCAATTTTATCTGCCATCCTCCAAAAAATCGAAGAGCTAGAGAGAAGGGGCAATTAAACAAAAATCAAGGAAAGCATGGTCATTAAGATACTTGCTGCCACTTAATAAAAGCCCTATCCAACATACTAAGTGGCAGTCAACATTCCCTTAAGGTAGGGTTTTTACTTAGGTGGCAGCATGCGAATGCCAGTTAGCGAAGCAAGTTCAGTTGTAGAATCTTGCCATATTATAATATTTGCATTAACTAGAAATGGTAAAACTCTCAGAGCTGCACATGAAATAAATAAAGAGGACTCACTCTTCCATTTGTCGTTCATATTCAGAGCGTACTTCATGTACCCGTACTATGACCTCAAGTTCATGCTCAATTGTCTGCATTATTGCCTTCAAAAGAAGAAAAATATATTAATAAAAAAAGAGAGCCACTTAGAACACAGATCAAATCTACAAGTATGAAAATTTTTTTTGAAAATATAACCCCTATTGGTCTAAGCAATTCCAAAACAAACTGTTCAATCTGTTTGTTAATACCTGAATTCCAGGACCATTGCCATTTCCAGCACCTGCATAGCAAAGATAGTATTGTCAGTGAGTTGTATAATTACAAAAAACAAGAATAAACTGCATGATACAAAAATGCGCCTAACCAGAAGCTTCACGTGAGGAAGTCTTTCGAGATTCTAGAAGCTCCTTTAGCCTTTTTGTAGCCATAGCAGCCTCTTCAGTCTTTCTTTGCAAAACCTAACATGCATATGCAGAGAGTGAGAACAGTTCCTTCAAATTAGAGAGATTAAAGCTTTCTATGTGAAAATAAATGTTACCATTTTTTGCCTTTGATTCAGAGATAAGAGCTTGTGCATCTCATACTCATTTCTCCTTCCCTCTTTCTTAAGCTAGTTATAGAAAATAAAAAAGAGACAATAATTATATGTTAACAAAAAAATTAGTTGCTAGAATTATCTAAACT